AAGATCTGTTTCCTACTTGTTCTTTTATCATAAGAGAATGTGTACTTATCTACTGTCACCAGTTTTAAAATTGGAGATGTTATAGATATAAAATGTAAATAAATATACAAAATCATTGTTTTATATTAAATCATTTACAGAAAGTGTGTTAACTGTTCAAATGTCAAGGATTTTTTTTTTTTCTTTATTTTTTTTTTTTTTGCATATTTACATCTTTCATCTTTGTTTTAAAGATTGATTGTATAGCAGCAAATCTGTTTGCTTGCTTATTTGTTGTATTAGCAGCCATTTGAACAACCGTCTCCTTTGGTCTATGCTTGACACAATCATTTTCTTACCTGTCTATACGGTTTAATTCTTTGGCCATTTTCCATATCAGATAAGGGTTGCTGCCTTTTCTGTCTGAATTTCTGGGATGAGGAGTTATCATTATTTACACTATTTGTATTAGGACTATTGTCCTGATCTTTATTGTTTTCACAGCGTTTTGGCTGTTGTGCTGTCTGGCCTTCATCAGGTGTATAATGATCTGGGTAACCTACAAGAAATTCTGAACTGAACCTTTTATTTAATCTACTGGAATAGACTACTCATTCCGTTGCTTGTCTAGTTCTTATTTTTATTTAGTACTGTTCAGTTATTGCACTGTGTGCAAGCATACACTGCTTGACCCAAGGATTGAATTCACAACTGCTGTCATCAAATTCACAGACCAATGTTTTTATCCACGAGGCCTTTGGACCCAGATCAATATACACCTGAGGAAAGCTAGAGGGCACAACAACCGAAATGCTGTGATAAAAACAACAAAGAGGAGGACAATAGTCCGAATACAAATAGTGTAAAATTCACCAATAACTTTTCCATATCAACAATCTGTGAAGGTTTGCCAATTTTATAATAATATACTCATAAGACAGTTGAAGGTTATAGACCATACAAGATAATCTCAAGTGGTATCAAAATCTTTGAGTAATATTACATTTTTTTCTCTTGTATTGCACCAATATTATTATTGGTCATTTTGATTTTTAATCATGGCTTTAGCCACATATATGAGTGACTATATCTAAGCAATTAGACACAATAAACATTTCTCTCTATTGAAGTTCAATTTAGCACTAAATAGGTGAAGCTTTCTTAAACAGACATATCAGTATTTTATCAAATATCTGTTTAAATCATCACCTTTCTGTATCATAGCAATATACAGACTGTTGAGTATATACAAAATTCTGAAATAGCCATACATTGACTGGTTGAAACCAAATTTTGGGGAGAAGTGCAAACAGGTAAGTGGGTACAAAGTACACTTCTTTTTACTAGGGTGAGTAAAAACTGCAAAATAGGGTTTTGTCAAAGCTAATCAGTTTATTCAAATTTCATTGATTGGTTTGTGAAATTGAACGAAATGTAGTGTTCGTAAATCCTGACAAAAAATAACTTCAACAATACCAAATATTGTGAGTATTTCATGAAGCGTGTTGCAAGAGAATTCTAGTCGGAGTGTTATATATATATATATATATATATATATATATATATATATAAACGCGTTCAGGAAACTTTCATTGCAGATAGATTTTACTTAAAGGAACGATTAATTAGCTTATCTTCATACCCTGCCCGGTGGCAAACGCTGCTGGTGGCGCCAGGAGTGGCAGTACCGACATAGCCACCGAAACCGTGATATCACCCCTGGTCGGGTGGCTGATGAAGGCAGGGTATCGCACGTGCTAACACACGTTGTATATTAAAAAAAAAAAATTATATATATATATATATATTAATCAATTCACCCTAAGCAAGGTGATAACACCACTAAGATGCAAGGGACTACTGGGAATGAAAGAGAATGAAAAGACTTTCAAAGGAACTGGAAAACCAATTCTAAACAGGGAACAAGAGATAAACTTCTACTTCTGTTCAAAAGATCAAGGAGGAGTATGAACTGGGTGATATGTGAACGTATCTACTCTTATTTTTATATATGATAGTTTGATGATTCCAGTCTTTATTCAAAGCTGCAGAATGTTTAATCAACCTCTTCATAATCGATTGTTGTTTTCATTGTATTGAAACCATTCATTAGTTGCTGTCATTGCTTCTTGAAAAAAAAAGAAAAGAAAAAAAGGTTGATTTTAATACTTCAGAGTGCCCTTCATACCAATTATAGCATATTTATTCACAGCATGTAGCTTAAAAAAAAAAAATGTTGAATGCATTCCAGTTTAACCCATGAGATTGTTGGGGTGTGATATTGTGTAATTTCCTTACATGGCATTTCTCAGGGTAAAGGAAATTATCTAATTGTACCCAAGTAATGTGACAGGTTTTACTTGGTTACATGCTATTGGCAGCAAGGATACCCCCCCCCCCAAGCTATGGGTAAATTGGGCAGACTGGGTTCTCTAGCCTTGAGTGGCAACCAGTCTAGGAGAAGGAAAACTCTGAATTCAGAACTGTATTTAGCACTGGCGAACCACATACTATGCAGCTAAGGAAAGGATCGATCACATTGACTTGATCCTGACTATAGTCAATTCCTATTAAGACAGCAGAGTTCAATCCCCTAATAGTTTGAATTCAGAATAATCCTCCTAGACTGGCTGCCACCCATGGCTAGAGAGCTTTGTCTATTTTGCTAGAGTGAGGGTAAGTAGAGATAGATTCATACCTTTCCCAAGGGTATTTGTGGGAAAGTGAATGTAACTGACTCTGTCAGAATTTGCACCTTGGCCTACTGATGATTTCTCTTACATTCATTATATCCTGTCATGTCCCTGTCCATTCAGGTGGTGGTTATTTTAATTTTTCTATTCTGATCATAATCTAATTTAGAGTGGCAAGTTCTCTGTGTTCTAAAATGTCAAATTCCATGTTCTTCTGTGATGGTAAATTTCAATTTTCTGTTTTTGTTTCAAAATCATAAAACCACATGAAAAACTGATTTGTGTGTAAACAGTAAAATATACAAGTATATAGCCTACTTATACAAGTATCTTTTATTTTTTTTTGTACTTCACTGATTTCTGATGATCCATAAGTGTGTCCCTCTGAGTTCAATCTATGGTGTGTTGACAAAAACTGCAAAATAATTTATTGCCATCATGATAAAAATCATCATAGAAAGCTGGCACTTCAGCTCTGTATTTTGCTGAAAGTGTGCACCCACCAAGCTTTTTGTTTACTCATTGTGAAAGATAATCAAAACAGCATTTAAAAATCTAATTTAATTACTAAACAAAAACTTTTATTTTTACTATGCTAGATGGCATGTGCCACACTATTCATATGCTAATATCACAAATGGTATTTGCCCTGTGGCAGCCAGCAGTGACCGGTCTGGCCAGGTTAACATCATGAATTAAGTTATGGTGCTTGCGCAGTACTGGAATTCGTAGCGGAAAATACCCCATGTGATTTATAAAATGACATGTTGCAGCAATATAAGTTGTAGCGCTTGTGTATAAGTGACTGACTTTGCAGTGTATTGCAAATTTATGCAAAATAATAATTCTGTCAAGTTCCAGCTCAGGAATTTTGTTTTCCCATTGGAATATTTTATTTTTTAGTAGCAAAAATTCTGTTTTCTGTGATTTTCCGTTTTCTATTTTATTTCCATGTTCTCCATTTTCCATATCATGGAGAACTCTAATTTTTCCAAAATGAGTTATGTAGAGTTGTTTAAAGAAAAGCCTTCATTGTTGCCATGCAGAGATCTTTTTCTTTCAAAAATAATGTGCGACATGTCATATTTATCATGAGTATATATTGTAGATAAAAAAACAAATGCTTTGACTTTTTGTTCCTCGTCTTTTTTTTTTTTTCTTTCATTTGTCAATCATCACTCTTAAAGATTTTCACTTGTCAATCAAATATGGAAACAAATGCCAAATTAGTTAAAAGTCGGATATAAACTTAAAATAACTCATCACTTGCCAAATGCAACATTATGCTAATGCTTTAAACTCTTGGTCATATAACTTGATATAATGCCACACACACATGTGCGTATCTATAATGGATTGAATTGATCTCTTCTGATACATTATTGATTATTCAGTTATCAGTAAACAATGTCTTCCAGCCAGATTGTGAATAACAAGTTAGACTTTTGTAGAAGTGTGATACTTGATATTTAATAAGAAATAATTTACATTTTATATATTTGAGTGATAAAATGGCTGAAGTCTTTTATATTTTAAAACTGGAAATTTTGTTTTGATTGGTTTTTATTTAAAAACTTAAAAACAAAATTCATTTTATTGCTAACGTTATATATTGGGATTAAAAACCAATGCTACTGAGAAATCTTGTTTGGATTAAGCGCTTTTAAAGATATAAGAATTCCTTATTTACATTCAGACTATTATCTCATCTTTGTTTTGTCCATTGTGTCCTCCAGTCTTCTTTGGGAGTCTCTTCTTGATCCATGTAACTTTCAGGGAGTTTTCAAAAACCCTTAATTTATGGCAGTAGATTGTTCTGCTTTCCATGTCTAGGGATTCTTTTTTTTTTTTTTTTTTTACTACTGCTCAGTTATTGATTACTCTTTGGCCTAATTGAACTTTCAGTTTACTTTATCAAAAAATTCACAACCTGTTACTTTTTTCTAGACAGCTGTACATAGAATTTGGAGCCTTAAACTTAATATTCTCTCCTACCTGCTGTAAGAATTAATTTTGCAGGAGAGGTGTGTCTTGTATGTTTATCTATTATAACTTGAAGTTGTTTAAGCACATTGATGTTAGCTACTGTTATTGTATGGTCCATAGGCCATAACAAAATATGAAATAACTTGTTCTATTTATTTTTACTATTTTTGGTGTGCATACATACATACATACACACACTTATAAGCCTAAATTCTGTCTTCTTCTTTTCCAGATGGTTTCCGTAAAGTGGTCAACCTGGAACAGGGCTCTTTAAAAACTGAGAAGGATGATCTTCAATTTCAACATAATTATTTTGTTAGAGGACAAGAGAAATTACTGGAAATGATCAAAAGAAAAGTGAGTTGCTCCCTTCCCCCTTCAACTACTTATATATATAATCGTGCGATGGGTAAATTGTCATTTTTATATTTTTCATTTTGTACATGTGCATTGTTTGTTTTTGATTTTATCGATTGCGTAGTATAGTAGGGTCAGTTGGGCACCACCTGTAAGAAAAAGTGCCCTGTGACACAATTCACTTCACCAGAAATTTGGAGACTGCATGCTGTACTGCTCCAATACAAGCATTTCAGAGTGTTTAGGTGTCAATCTGAGGACGGTGCAGAGGATTCAGAAGATTTGGAAGGTTTGCTGTACCATCGCCATACTTCTTATACTTTCTGATGATATTTCCTACTGTACTTAGAACTAGATTCATTTCTTTGCTAATTTTTCAGTAACCTTGTCCTCCTTTGTGATGTTCAATGATTCTATCTCTCGTATCTCTGGATAATTCTTTAGTTTTTGCCATTTTTAATCCTTGAATTGCAGAATGCACATCAAAGAGTCAGATGATTAGTAGCACTATCCTGTAAACAATTGTGTGCTTCTCTGATTGGTCAGAGATAACATTCCAATACTATTGAAAATTTGAATATTTAAAGTCTTTTAAAATACAAAGTTTCGATTGGAAATTTGAAAAAAAGTGTCATGTATCCAGTACTTTTGCATAGGGTAATTTTGAATTTTGATAAAAAAAAAAAAATGGATTCAACCATGAGTTTTTAATTTTCCTTCCACATACAACTAAAACAACTTTGAGATATTACTTACCAAATATCAGGCAAAATGGCGAACATAAACTAGAGTTATAACAGAAAATAACATGTATCCAATACTTATATATATATATGTGTGTGTGTGTGTGTGTATATATATATATATATATATATATTTATTACTTCAATGTCATTTTTAGTGAATACCTGTATTCGAGTACATGCTCTGTTTGTTTATTTATTTTCATCTACCAGCCTGAATATTTGAGAAATCTTTGGATTCATAAAATAAAAAAATTCATAGCATTTTTAAAAATGGCTTCATTTATATCAGGATACAAAACTGAGTAGATATGTCTATTTTGATAGTTGGGAAAAATTTGTTTATAAAGGCTCTTTTTATATATATATATATATATATATATATATAAGTTTCTATTATTAATGGAGAATATATTTACTTCAGTTATTTGATAATTATGTTATAGTTAATTTTTAATTACAGGTCTTACCTTTCATTTAATATTAGTATCTTGGGATAATAAGCTTCCTCATGAGAATATAGTTCAAGTTGAATCCTATGTATACTATAGTCTGCAAGAGTTGTCCCTAATTTAACTGTTGGAGCAAATTTAAAAAAAAATGTATTGTTTATATTTATTTTAAGAATTTCTGTATACTGTACTATTTCTATTATTGTCATTTTAGATGTGGAGAATGAAATTTGCTGAACAATTCATAAATTGTTCATATTCAAGACTGAATCTATAAAAACTAATTCACACACACCTTGTGTCTGTCAGGCTTATGGCCACATGTGCAAACATTGGTTCCCATACAATCACTAAAGTTAAGCAACATCAAGCCTGGTCAGTATCTAGATAGGTAACCACTTGGGAAAACCAGGTGCTGTAAGCTTGGATGTGGTGAAATGGATAATGGCTCCGAATTGTTAATTGGAGAGGCTGAGTTCCAATTCTTGTTGGGTTTGTTATATTCGCTCATGTACAAATACCCTTGGGGAAAAAATATGACTCCTTCACTTCCCCCCCTCACCTATGGTTTAATTAGTAAAACTTGTATCACTAAAACCATTATTATCTCCCTAAAAAATAAAATTGTCTCAGTTGGGTGTATGTGCATGCTTAGCACCAGGCAAAATGTGATTTTATATATAAAATCACATGATGAATTGTGAAAAAGTTTTTGTGATGCGTTTCATCCATTATGATTTCATCAGACTGGGCATTTCATCAGCCCAGGCTTGTTGATGTTACCATGTCTACACATGTGCATGAAACAAAAGATGCTGGTAGTTTCAAAATTTTTTAAGAATATTTTTTTGATCCAGCCAAATTCATCTCTATTTTTTTTTCTCTTCATCACCTTTGTCCCTGACTATCCTACACTGTGACAATATGAAACCTACCAAGAATGGTGATATATTGTAAGAGCCTGGATACAAATTTACTGTGGCTGAACTAATGATCAAGGCACTTTCCATATATTTTCATCTCTGGATTATTTTCTCTTTTAATCAAAGTAGCATACCCTATGTCAAAATTGTGGTCCATTTTGTTTCTATAGGGAACAACCAATATGTTTTGTGTGTTGTTATTTAAAATGTCCCTTTTGTGTTCATATATAGTCTCTTGTTTAAACTTCTTTAGATTTTTCCAATGCATTAATTCTTGCAATTTCTGCATTTGATAGAATAAATTCCTCCAAGTTTTGGCTGGTTGTTTTGTTTTCTATTAAGTCTTTGATTGTTTTAGATGAAGTTGTGACAAATTTTATGTTGAGTTTAGATAAATTATTTTTGGTGATAGTTATGATAATCGGTAGAATAATTTTTTGATTTGTTTGTCAGGAAGGACAGCTTTTATATTTTGGAATATTTTATGAGTCTTTCATTTCGCATTGAAGAGTCTAGAAAGTATTTAATCTATTTCTCTTCTTTGTGTAAATATTTGCAGCCCTCAATGTTGAAAAGTCTTAACTCCTAATGATATTGGCAAACCATACACTTAGGTACCTACTTTATAATCTGTATAGAATAAAAATATGAAATGAATTATTTTCATAAGACAGATCACATTTAAACTTACTTTAGCAAACTCTACAGAAAAGGCAATGAAAACTGGTTAAATTGGAATTTTTATTCCATTATTTTTAATTACTATAAAACTTTTTAATATCATTCATGTCAGTTCATTATTTATATTCTTTGTTTTTAAGGTTCCAAATGTGAAACTTGATGCTGCCAAATTGAGCCCAGAGGATTTTGGTAAATTATTAAGTGATGTCAAAGTTTGGAAGACAAAACAGAATCACATTAATCTTAAATTGGAAACCATGAAAAGGTATTTTTTTTATTTTCTATATAAAAATAAAGTGCAGTATACATGTGTCCACTCATCTGTTTCTTCAATCTTGACAAACATGCAATTAAAAATTAAATAATTCATTTAAAGTTAACTTTAAATATCAAACTGAGTGAAAGGTTTAAAAATCAATTCTTTAATAAAGGTTTAACTTTAATTTCTTTTTTCATCACAATAGTAATTGATGTCTAATTTTAAAACTAATTAAAACTTGAGTGGGGCACGGTACTTTGCTCTTTTTTTTTTTTTTTTTTTTTAGCACACATACTGTGACATAATGAAAATATTACATAGTTCGGGTTCCCTAATGTCTTTTAAGAGTGACTTTATGTGATAGAGAATGGTGACTTTAAAAGAAAATGAAAATTGTGTGCAAAATAAATGTAAAAAATTATGGCGATTGGTTGCCTATACAAAGAGAGTTTATGCCGAATTAAGGTGTTCAATAAAGATATGAGAATTTAGAAATAAGAAATTATTTTAACTGTTAGATACACAGGATGCTGAAGGTAAGACTGATGGTCCAAAAGCCCTCTGCAGGAACTAACCCAATGTCTACTTTCTAGGCTATTACTAAAAATAAAATTAGAATTATTTAAATTTCTTGTTTTAATGGATTTACATATTTGATTTACAAGTGAGATATATGAAAATGTATGTAAGTAGAAAAAGGTTTCCTTGTGACATGTTTCATCCTTCAGGACTTCATCAGACTAAATTTATTATGTTGATGCAACTACACATGTGCACGAATGTGAGATGCTGAGAATTTTAAATTAAATTTTTAAATTAAATTTTAATTTAAATTTATTTTTTTATATGTAACTGATTTCATTTAGATTCATTTTCTTTCTCTCAATTTTGTTATTAGATATCCCCCCCCTCACTGTGATAACAGAATTTCTGTAAGAGCCAGGATGTAAATTTACTATAGATGACCTTGCAGTTAAGGCACTCTAGACATTTATGTTGTAGTGAATTTTTTTTTGTTTTTTTTTTTTTTGTTCAAAGTAGCATTTTTTTTATATATTAAAATTGTGGTCAGTTTTGTTATGGTAGGCAACTAACACATTTGATGTATTGTAAAATGTTTCTTTTGTGTTCATATAATCTTTTGTTTAGATTCCTTAAGTTTTCTCCTATGTATTTTAATTACAATCATTCCAGGCAATTGAATAAATTCCTAGCATCCCTCATTCGTGTGCATGTGTAGTTACACTAACATAAAAAACTTTTGTCTGAAGACCTGAAGGACGAAACATCTTACAAAAGAGCTTTTTCCACTTTATCATGCATTTCTCCCCCAATATTGTTTTTGATATATAAAAAATATATCTCATATATGAGAGAGAGTTGTGGACAGAATTATCCCCCCTTTTATAATTACATATAAAGCTGTAATACCTTAAATTTTCATGAAAACTTTGTGTGCATTTTTCACAGATGATTTTGAAAGAACGTGCAGATAATAGTGTAAATTAAAAAAAAAAAAAATATGGTTTACTTTTTATTTGGCTCAAGACTTAAAAAATACACATTGCATTCACTGTCACTTAGAAAGGAACTCAGAATTTCATCTTTATATCCAATATTAAAGAGAATGTCCCTTCCATTGTGCTACCCAGTTCTTACCCAGTTCTTAGGAGCAGACACACACTTCTTAAATGTCTTTTCACTTATTTTTTCCCATGAATTCTTCACTCACATGCACATCTGAGGAAGCATTGGTATTTCCCTTTGTCCATTTGAGGTCTGTAGCAATAGCATTCTGCTGCATTATCCCTTATACAATTGACGTATAGAATGCAAACATATTCTAGCATCTAATTTCAGGTTAAAAATGCATCTTATACATTGAAAAATACAGTATTTTTTTTACATGCATTAGTTTTTGTTGCTTTAACATATATATATATATATAGAGAGAGAGAGAGAGCTACACACACACACACACACACACACACAGTCGTCCCTTGTCACTTTGTGCTTCAGCTTTCATGCTTCACTCTATTGCGTTTTTTTTTTTTTTTTTTTCTCAAATCTTTCATTAAAAATTCATGTCATAATTCCTCGCTGCTTCGTGGTTGACTATGGTTTACTACAGGTTTAGAAAAAAGTTCTTACCAAATTCTTAGGAGCAGACACACAGTTGATCCTTCAGTTGATCAAGAACAGTGAAAATAATACAGCACTTGGATGTCTGGGTTAATTATACACATCTGTATTAAAATTACTGTAGGTCTAAGTATTTGAGCATCCCCACAAATCCTTCAATGCCAGATGCAGCCGCTTGACCACTCCCTGTATGCGGGCAAGAACTTTTTATCAGGCCTGTATTATTCCAAAATCGGGTGTTGTGAAATGCAGGCAATTAGAATATGCTGTTCACTGATTGGCTATTGTTGCGGGTGTGCTGTGGATTACTTGTTGGTGATTTGTTTGGCTGTGTGTTGGTATGAAGATAGTATGTTGATAATGAACCAAATACAAAACAACAAAGCAATAGTATTTGATTAAAATAAAGCCAAATTTTAATTTTTGGCAACAAAACCAAAACTATATGCAAAGATATTTATACAAATAGAATTGATATCAAGGAGGTGCTGAAAAGAAAACATCAAATTATGCTTATTAGTTCTTCCAAGGTATAAAGAATGTTTTTATGCAAATAATTTAAAGCAGTAGTGACCTTTGTTGTGCAGTACATCTCTTCATCATTGAACAAGTAGCATTATTTTCCTGGGTTTACACTAACCTAGGAAAATAATTCAACTTATTTGATGATATAATAGTCTTCCTATATGGCAGTGAATGCTAGACAATGTACCTCACAGATGAAGATGTTTGATATAAATGTGGTTCTACAAAGAATACGATGGACTGAACATGTGAGCAATGGTGAAGTTTTAGAGAAAATGGAAACAAAAAGGAAACTTATACTTAATATAAGAAAGACAATTGAAATTTCTCGAGCACATAATGAGGAAAGAGGGCTTGGAAAACCTGATACTCACAGAACAGATTGAAGCAAAGAGAGACAGAAGAAAGAAATGCATAACCTACTGAGTGAGTTTGTGTGAATAAATTGCAGAATAGGGTTTGGAAGCAATAACAAAAAGGCAAAATTTATTAAGAGCTACAAAGGATGGGAAATTGTGGTGAGCTATAATCACCAACACCCTGTAGGAACACAGCACATAGAAGAAGAATATAGAAAGTTTTACTAGATTTGCTTTGGCTCTGAAAATTGATAATAAAGGTAGACAACTCCGTTTCTCTTTAATTTAATGTTGCATTAGATTTAAGAGAAACAATCTGTTTACTGTCAATTATTGTTTTTAAATGAATTTTTTTTTCTTTCTGTTCTTCAGACAAAATGATGCCCTTTGGAGAGAAGTGGCTTCACTACGTCAGAAACACAAACAGCAACAGCAGATTGTCAATAAGGTTTGTAAATATTTAAAAATTAATAATCTTGTATAATTGAAAAGAACACATTTTTCAACACATTGATCTAATTAGATAGGCTTATGGCCATATAGTGTTGAAACACTTGTTCCTGTACAATCATCAAAAATCAATCAATGTCACGCATGGTCAGTACATAGAAGAGTGACCACTTATGAATAATAGGTACTGTAAGCTTGGATGTGTGGGTGGTGTAGTGGGTAATGGTTAGGAATTATTAATCAGAGAGCAGAGTTCCAATTTCACTTGGGATTCGTTATATTCACTTATGTGCAAATACTCTTGAAAAAGGTATGAATCTACCTCTTCTCCCTCCAACTATGGGTTAATTAGTAAGACTTATTAATAATCATTATTATCTCAAAAAATAAAAAAAATAATTCTTACACTCTAAAAATGCTTTCTGGCTTCAAAAAACTTGCAAAGTGTTGATAAGCCATTAAAAAAAATGAATGAATGAATCAAAAACTAATTAGATATATCTATGTGTTTTCTTTCACTTGGCTTTTGTTGTTCATTCTTTTTAATTTATACTTTAAAGAACTGTTAAATCTGTCATGTTTTTTTAAGAAATTGCAAATAGTATTTTATGAAAAATGAAAAGGATTCATTTTTAAATTTATATATAATCAAATGGATAAATATAGGTTAATGTATGAGCAAGTATTTGTAATATATATATATATATATATATATATATATATATATATATATATATATACACACACACATTTTATAGTGTAAGAAAAACAGTTCTCAGTGTTAAATAACAGAGCTATTAATATATGAAAAAAATATACATAATACCCTATATTTATTGCACAACTCAGTTTCATGTTGTCTGCAATCCTCAGGCACATGTTTTGGATTTGCAACATGAAACTCTGAATTGTGCAATCAACATAGGGTACACACACACACACACACACATATATATATATATATATATATATATATATATATATATATATATATATATATATAGCCTTGATGATTGGCATGGTATTTAAGTTTTACCTTCTTAAAATATTAGTTAAGCTTGATCTACCTTGAAATGATAATGGTGAATTTATCCATTTCCATATAGGAAACATTTATTGACCAAACAGTCAGTGTTGGCTTTGGTTGAAAGTTATAAAATTTTTTTTTTTTTTTTTTTTTTTTAATTTTCAGAAAAATAGTTTTCTCAAGACCAGTAACATTTATTGCTCTTTCTTGTATTGATGGCAACTTTGGTCTCCACTTTTTGAAGGTGGAAAGTAAACATCTTGAATGTTATTATTTTCCCTCCTTGCTACATGTGCTATCCATTTTAGTTGTTGCCGCTATTGGAAGTTTCAAATGATATGCTTTTTGTTATTTCGTAAAGTTCTTTGCTTGTGTTTCTGTAGTGCCAAGCTATAAGATCTGATGAAGGTTTGTTCTCTTTAAGAAAAGATATACAAATAATCTACAATAACATATATGCAAGTAAAGAATGAATTTGATAAGTACACCAAAAAGAAATGAGACAAGGATGTGTATTCTCACTGGATTTATTTAACCTGTATCTCTCTTGGGTATGACAAACTAAATCTGGCAGCAAGGCCTCTGAGAGGTTTTGAGGAGCGTGGAACCACCTCTTAATTTCTGTTGTTCCCAGGTCCACCCTAATCTTTGGTGGTAGCATCTGTTAGGGTCCCAGCTATTGCCAGATAGTTATCCCCTTATCTGGGTCAAAACACTATGAAAGTATAAACAATTTTGTAGTAAAAATATCAAGACATTTTCATCATAAAAAAAAAAACTAGCAGCCATGTATTTTTGTAAAAAAAAAAAATTTAGCAACAATACATTTTTGTAAAAGAAATTACTAATGCCCCCAAGAAAATTAAATTTCTGCATTAAATGACCCATAAGGGGTTGATATGCCACTAAATAAACAATTTAACCTGTACAGCATGAGGATTCAAAGAAAATTAGATTTATTTTCGGTTGATGTAATTTTAAAAGCATGATATACAAATGGCATTGTGTACTTGACATATTCAGAAAGAAGTTGAGAACTATTAGACAAAGTAGCCAAAGGAAGCAAGAAGAAAGGACTAACTATGCACGATGGAAAGTCTGAAAGTGTCTGAATAGTGATTTTCTTTTTTCTCTCTAGAAATTAAACAAAAATTGAAAAATAGCAAAATTTAATCACCCCCCCCCCCGCAACAAAAGTTCACCTAATACAAGGCTCCAGAGCCACTCATGGTAAGGTTAAGGGTTACTGAATGTGCTGTGTGATATGAATGTAAGAGTAGGAAGTGAAGGTTATGGGAATATGAAGGCTAGATAACAGTTGATCATAGGCTCGAAGAGATTAAGACTGTAGTACTTGGAGAAAAGAGTGTTGCACTGCTATGTAATGTCTACTCTCATTTAGCAGTGAATGCTGGATAATTTTGTCATAAAAGAAAAAGAAATATCATACCAATTAAGGTATGGTTTTGACAGACAAATATTGAGAATATAATGGGGAGAACATGTAACAAATGGGGAAGTTTTAAGGATAGCAGGAAGTACAAAGAAACTGTTAATAACAATTACAGACCATAACAGCTGAAACTTATGTGACACATAATGAGAAAAGAAGGGTGAGAGAATTTAATGCACACGTGACACATTGAAAGTAAGACTAAGAGAAAAACAGTGAGTTTTTCTACTTGACAAGTAGCATCAAGGGATTATAAAGGAAAAAGTACTGTTAAGAGTAACAAAGGATAAGAAGCTGTGGAGAGCCAATGACAGCTTATCTCCTGAAGGAACACTGCACATAAACAGAGAAAAGTATATTTTTATTCTTCTTTTGTGTGCTGTATCCCTTAAGGACATAGGCAATCATTACTCTCCACAACTTCCTACCACTTGTGGCCCGTAGCAGTTTTTCTCACTTTACTAAGCCCCTCACCTTGTTCCGCCATCCATTCACACAAGCTTATCAGGTAAGTGGCTTGCTGCCTTCTCCTATCTCTTGCTCTCAATATTCCCTGTGAGTGTTAAGTTTTCCAGGCCATCCTTCCTCATTATGTGTCCAAAGAATTTTAGCTATCTCTTCCTGATTCTAAATTTGTGTTCTTTCTGTTGCCATTTTCAGTATCCTTCTGTAGAACCATATTTCTGCAGCATCTAATTTTCTCCTCATCCGTGAGGAGATTGTCCAGAATTCACTAGCATATAAGAGAATGGATAGCAAATAGTAATCCAGCAATCTTTGCCCCTTTCTATTTTTTAAATTCATTTCCTATCTGCATCCTAGTATAAGTTTTGGATTATTTTAACATCTTTTCCTAATTGATCGAGTTTTCCCAGCACTTCAAAATGGTCTTTGTGCCATACCTTGTCAAATGCTTTTGCGTAATTTACAAAACGTAAGTGCCCACTGTTCAGTATTTATATTGCCATTCTCATGAATATTACATTTCTTGTTCCGGTGTCCTTGTTTTAAATGATATAAAATATTTTTTGTTTTTATGAATTTTCTTGTAGACTAGCACTTAAGCTTTTTTTCATTCATGACCCTATTTTTCACCATGAGATTTTTCGTGACCCCAGGTATTAACCAACTACACTGAAAATTCACACTTTGTTACTGCACTAATTGCAATGGCGTCACACGTGTTTTATTACCACAGTTCTTGTGTGGTGCTTCATGTTAAATATTGTGTGTTTGTGAAATAACATAAACTGAAATTGAAGTGTTTGAATTTAATTTTTGCAATCCCAGCATTTCACCTTGTAACCTCATTTGGGGTCATGACCCATAGTTTTAGACTTTGATATTTGTAAACTTCATGAATTCTTAAAATGTTTTTATTTCTTTTTTTTTTTTTTTTTTTTTTTTTTTTTGTTTGCTTGTGTAGTTGATTCAACTGCTGATAACATTTGTCCAACATAATCGAAGTTTGACGAATATGAAAAGACAGCTTCCTCGAATGATTGAAGAAGCACCAGAGACGCAGGAAGCTGCTGTGGTGCCTTCAAAGCGAAGCCGTTTTAGCAAACAACTCTCTATTGAAGAAAACAGTGAGCCAAATTCACAACAGGTCAGTATTGTCATTTTAATGTGAAATGAATTGTAATTTTTTAAAAATAATCAAGCAAATAATTTTTAACATAAAATTTAATTCATGAAAACCAGTTTTGACCAAAGTTATTCTGTTAATACATTTGGGAGAAATGTCTGAGTAATTTCAGGATACTTTTTCCATTTTAATATATTTCTGTTTAAAGCATTGTACAGAACTGACAACTTGGTAGGACTAATTATAAATAAAATTCTGATAAAAATTCATATCTGTCATAAATTTTGTTGTACATTGCTTTTTTTTCAAAAACAATTTGCAAGAATGGTTTGTTTTAATTCTTTTTAGGTACATTAGCATCTTGTTCAGTACCAACATTTATATTATTTACATGTAGTCCAAGACTAGAACAAAGTGATTCCAACAGAAACTGAATATGATCACTGAATTAGTATTAGTCACAACCATCTGGGGAGGAGAAAATGAAGAGAAGGTGCAAAATTCAAGAAGAGGACATGATGCAATTAATATTTAAAGCAAAGTTTTAATTAGTGTCCTTTTGGTACTGATTGTTTTAAGGATCTTTTTGTCTTTTTATCTTGACCAATTGTTTCGGGTCAACTTGATAAATGTGGACAATTCATTAAAATTATTTGAAAGAAAGTGTAATGAACTATTTTGAGAATGAAGAAAATATTTTAGTGATTGTAACATGTGTTATGGCTGGCACAACACAAAATAAGACAAAACAGATTCTTAGAAATTAAAGTTGAAAGAAAAGATTACAAGTAATAATGAAAAAAAAATGGGGGGGTTTATTTAACATATAATAAAATATTTTATATAAACAGAAGGGCTGAGGTTTAAACAATATTCGTTGGGAAATGCTAACAGTTAAGCATGTGAGAGCCCAGAAAGTAGTTGGCTTAATGTGTAACTATATGAGGGAGTGGAGAGGAAATTCTTATACAGCTAAGATTAAGGCAACAGATGAGAATTTGTTGCTAGTCAAAGAATAATATTATTTTCTTCTTAGAAAAATAGTGAGATATTCCCATGTATATAAAATAAAGGATTTTGGTCAATATCATCAAGGAATAAAAATGTGAAGTATATACCGATAGCCTTTTCTTTTTGATGACTGTCGGAACTTTGATTCTTTCAGTCAAAGCTTTGTTCATGAATCAAATGGACCAGAGTCAACCTCAGTAGTCATGGCTGTGGGGTCAGGAGGCAAACTGGCTAGTTGGTGCGAACACCTGTTTATATATGTTTTTTGTACCCTCTAGAACCTGGTAGAAGTTTCTAGAGACTTCCAGAAAGTTCCATTCTATTATGAAATCTAAAAGGTTTGGTGAATGGGAGCTTTTTGTAAGGTAAAAAGGGCATCTAGTAGTTACAGATTTAAGTCATCATTTTAAGTTAGGTTTTATATTTTATAGTGTAATAGGTAGGGCAAAATGGGACCTCGTAACACATGCTGTTGTTCTGGGATTTGATCCAGAAATCTTTTTTTTTTTTTTTTAGTGATTGTAACATGCTATTGTTCTGGGATTCAATCCAGGGTAGTATTTCTGTATGAAAGGGGATTTGTTATGAAAAACTAAGGAGAGGAATTCAAAAGGCACCAGTAGTTGTACATCATAACAACCCTGGGACTTATTTACTTGTCTTGTAGCTGGACTCAAGTTTACATGATTTCCATTCATGTCCAACATAAAGACCAGCAGTTAATATTAGAATATTATGGTATAGATTACTAATGTCTATAAATGGTCCGGTGCTCCTCCTATATATCAAAAGAAGAACCAGCAATATTATTGGTCTTCATCTGGCATGTTGACTTCACTTTCTCATTACTATGAAGTTTCCTCCTTGTGTCTTTTCTATAAATACTTTTATGGTAATTGTTCGAATGAACACTTCACGATGGTACCTAGACTTTTTGAGTTTAAGTGCAGTACTAGACTGGTTTCTCATCAATTTACAGTTGAGTTGGCTAGAATTGTAAGTTCTATGCTAACAGTTTTTTTCCTCACATTTCTCACTTGTGGAACTCTCTTTGGGCTCATGCTTTCCAGTCAACTTTAATTTTCAAAATTTAAATGCAATGTCACTCCTTGGTAATGTTTCCGTTTTCTAATTCTTCCAAACCCAGTAACCCCTTCTGCTTTAGTGGCTTTACTGCCTTGTTTGGGGTGAACTTGATTTTTAAAAAAAAAAAAATTCTGTTTTGGTCAAGTGGGTGACTGCTTTGAAGATCTTACCCCATAGATTTTTTCCTCTCATCTTTATTCAGAAGGCAGCTTATGTACAGTCTCCATACAATCACCAAAGTTAAGCAACAATGAGACGGGTCAGTACCTCGATGGGTGACCGTTTGGGAATACCAGGTACTGTAAGTTTGGCTGTGTGGGTGGTGTAATGGATAACAACTCGGAATTGTTAATCAAAGAGCTGTGTTCCAATTCCAGTTGTCTTTGTTATATTCACTTACACGCAAATACCCTTGGTAAAGGTATGAATCCACCTCTTCTCCTTCCAGCTATGAGTTAATTAGTAAGGCTTCTGTCACTAAATCATTATCTCCAAACAAACAAATTCTTACAATCTAAAAATATTTAGAAAAACAGTATTAGAGAATATGAGAAAGAAATGTTTTCCATAAAGTTAATTTTTTAGTTTTGTATTTTAGACAAAAACAAAAGTTGTTTTTATTTTGCCAAACAAAAGACTTCAAACTTAAAAAAATCATAGAATGTCATCCTGGGTATGACGATAAACTACATCCAGCAGCAAGGTCTCTGATCATGTTTTGAGAAGCATTGAACCACCTCTTAATTGCTGTTGTTCCCAGGTTCACCCTGACCCAGGGTGGCAGCACCTGTTAGGGTCCCAGCTATAGGCAAATAGTGAACCCCCAAACTGGGATCAAAACATGAAAATAGAAAAAATTACCAGCAATACATTTTTATAGTAAGAAAAAAAATTACAAAAGCTCCCAAGAAAATAAAATTTCAGCATTAAATGACCCATAAGGAGTTGATATGCCAAAATCAAAATCATAGAACGTTGAATATTTTATTAAGTCATTCATTGTGTTGTTTGAAAATTCTCTCATTTCTTATAAGGAACATGATTCTTTTTATACCTGTTTCATAATATGTTACATTTGCATACACATATCATCCACTAAATGTAGTAACAATTATGGGACAGGGGTATTTAATATTTTAAGTTATAAAGAAAACCAATGAAAATGGACAAAAATAATTATTAAGTAGATTTAAAAAAAAAAAAAAGAATGGCTACTATTTTGGCTGGGGTCAATTTTTTGTCCCCACTCAAGACAGCACAAATAAAGCAGATCTCATCCCTGTAGATTCAAATTTTGTAGCAGTACCTCAGCAATGGAAGAATGAGAAGCTTATAGGTTATTCTGATGCTTTTGTAGGTTACTAAGTGGATTTTGTTTTGTTTTTAATTTCATGCATGTAGGTTCCATATTAAACTGACCTTTTGTTATATCGGCCCTTGTTGGGCATTCAAAAAAAATACACGTTACTGTTCTTCATAAAAGTCTATTGTTTGCTGCTACTTGATGAAAGCATGAAATATATTGTTATCCTGTCTGAATTTTTTGGCTGAGGCGTTATCATTATTTATTTAAAATCAAACTAATATCCTCATCTTTGTCATCATAATGTTTTGATGTTTGGTTATTAAGTTCTCTTTTCCAAATTTCCTGAGGGTTATCTGGATTCACGGCACAATGACTGAACAAATATCTGTAAATGGTTTTTTTTTTCCGACAAAAACTTGTATCCATTATATACTTAAGTAAAACCATGTAAGAAATAGTACCAATATTTAAATATTTTTAAATATATTGTCTTCATTTTGATAAACCTAGTTTTGAAAACCATTAAAGATAGATTTTAATTATGTGGTTGGGAAATGCTAGTTAGTAGCTTGAGTCTTCAAAGATTAGAGAATACATTCATCTCAATTATCAATAAAAATGACATTGAATAAAGATAATTAATAAATTTAGTGCAGCAAGATAAACATATTCAGTTAGTATTTAAAAAAAAAACTTAAGCATTTTAATGGAAACTGTAGCCTTTTCCCATTGTGCATTTTAAATATTTTAAGTTTTCATCCTTCATTTAAAAAAATTATTACAAAAGTTGTTTTCATTTCATGTTAATATCATTTGTGAAAATTAATAACAAATCATCAGTTGTGAAAATTTAACAAAAAGCAAAATAATTGTGAAAATTTGATAAAACCAAACACTTTTGAAAATTTGAAACAAACAAAAAAAAAAAAATCATGAAATTTGATAAAACTAAAAAAAGAAAATTGTGAAAATTTGATAAAAATAAATTTAAAAAAAAAAAAAGACAAAAAAAAAACAAACTATCATTTGTGAAAAATATCAACTGCCAAAATGCAAAAATTAGTAAATGGAGGACTCGTATTCACATCGGATGGTTTTTGGCATTTTTACACATTTTATTTATGATTGAAAATAATTTGTATATTTATTATTTTTTTGCCCCCGTTTTCTTTTTATTACTTTATCTCCAGCTTGTTCTCCAAGGAGATATACTTGGTGAGACAACAGAAAGCCTGCCATCTACTGCCGTGTCCACAGCCACTTACCCTCCAGTTATCCAAGATATCCAGGATGTAATGCTTAACAAGACGAATGCTACTCATTATCCTACAATTGTGGAAATCTCCGATGATGATACAACTGAACATCAGGCAAAAATAGATAACTTTCAGGTACAATTTCCAGATAAAAAAATATTTTGTATCTTCATAATTTGTTAGATTTTAGATCCCTCTTGCTACTGGTAGCACATACCCAGTATAACCTGCTTCATGAATGGATGGTCAACTGACTCACCTCAGTTTGGTTGAGGGTAAAAACAAGACCTGTCAAAAAGTGGAGGATGAGTGGCATCTCAGTAAAAACACTCTAATGATCTTTGATTGCAGCTTTGACTACGAAGAAAATGTCTACTATGCAGAATATATAATCATTGTAAGAAGTGGTTAATGGCCATCATTTGAGGGTCAGTTGCATTGCAGATAGACAGCTCTTTGACTATGATGGAAATGGCTAATACACAGAATACAAGGTGCAATGAGCAAATTGTCGCCATTTTATATTTTTAATTTTTCGCATGAGCGTTGCTTGTTTTTGTTGACTGAACAGTATAGTAGGGTCAGTGGGACACCGTGAGAAAAAGAGCACCAATGACGCAATTCACTTCATCAGAAATTTGGAAACGGCATGCTGTACTGCTTGACATTTGCACTGGAAGCTCCGATACAAACATTTCAGAATATTTGGGTTTCAATCTGAGGATGATGCAGAGGATTCAGAAAGAGTTGGATGAGTTTAATGGCAATTATGAAGGTATTTGAAGTGATCGCTAGTGATGGCAATGTTATGCCTCCATTCATCTTCTCACAGGGCCTCAGACTCAACATGGTGGCCTACATAGTGACTTGAGGAGGTAGTGCTGTCCTGGGTGGCTGCTGGAAGAACCTATGTCTGGCAACAGAACTCCGCATCATGCCATACAAGCAGGAAAACCCAATCATGCCTGTCAGACAATTTCTGTGACCACATCACCCCTTAATCTGGCCACCTAACTCCACAAACTGCAACCCCTTTGATTATTATGTATGGGGTACAGTTGAGTGAGAGACCAACAAAACTCCTTGTAGCACCAAAAATGAACTGAAGGCAAGAATTATGACAGCATTCACCAACTTAAACAAGGAGACTGTCCAGATGAGTTGCAGGAGATTCTGAAGTCATCTGGAGGCCGGGGTTGAAGCCAATGGCAATTTTATTGAATAAATTTACTCTTTAGTATTTCAAGATATTCTTGTATAATTTTGGTAAATATATCTGTTAAAATGAGATGTTGGTGTTACTTTCATTTTTGTGTAATTTAGAAGATAATTTATCTGTCACACCCTGTGTATAACTATTGTAAGTGGCCTATCATTTGAGGGTTTATTGCATTGCTGAAAAAGATTTTAAATATATGATTTAAATGTTAAAATTGTAAATGCTACATCCCATTGGTCACTTCCTTCCTTTTACCCACTCCCAGTAGGTCTCACTTTTGGCTACCTCAACCTGTTGTCTCTACGTGATCATCCATATTGTAGGAGAGAAGATTTATACTGGCTTCACTTGTAGCATTTTTGTATCTATTGCTACTGAATTGCAGCAATTCTAAACATTGTGCTGTGAAATTTTACGAGTTACTTTGTGATGACCTTGGTAATGTAAAGAATTCAACTGAACAATTAAGATGTGGAAAATATCAAAAATGAATTCTGCAAAGCAAAGTCTAGTTTGAGGCTGGTTGATGGAAAATAGGCTCAGGTGTCAAATTGCAAACAGGATGTGCGTATCTTCTTGAAGATGAGGAGATGGATAAAGACGAAAATACAAGGATGCTGTTAGCTAAATATGAATCGACAAGCCTGGTGTTTAGAATTAACTGAGAAAATATAATTAATAATTTGCCCAGACTTAACACATCCGAATCCGTTGGCTTAAATAGGGACTCTGGAACCTTTTTAATAATCTCTTTCTTAAGTCTGGAAAGAAATTGTTGGAATCTATGCTAACCTTGGTTGTTATTGCAGCAGAAATTAAAAAAAGAAAAAGGGCTTTGGCACATCCCAGACTCATTCTCACCATAATTGTGTTTGAGAAACGATTTGACTTTCAACCATGTCTCAATAACTGAAATGGGGTTTGAACTTTAAATTATTTTTTTCCAAAATGGCATATTCTGATCTCCACATAATTTTATAAAAACTATTCCTTTGAGCCAATCCATATTGCCTGTGTATCAGGACCATCCATTAAATTGACAGGATCCTCAGAAAGAGACTCTTGTTATTACTTTGTTCTTCTGAGTCTTATGAATTGATCTCCAGAAATGTTGGGTTCAAATCTCGTCAATGCTTCATACTTGATTCTTCTATTCCTTTCACTTTTTACTATTTTCACTTATTATTATGAAGTAAAATATTTTTCTGTCTGAATTTTTGGAATGAGGATTTATTTACATTATTTCCTGTCAGACTAATATCCCCATCTTTGTTGTTATCATCAAAATTTCAACCATTGTACTCTTTCTTCAGGTTTCTGTTGATCTGGGGGTTGGGGTAACTTTAAAGGGTTCAGTTTAAAATTACTTGAGCATTACACAGATCAACAGGCACCTGGAGGAGGCTGGAGAGAACAGTGGCCAAATCATTTTGATAACAAAGCTCAGGATATCTGTCCTATTGTAAATAATGTAAATATTTTTATTTTTTTTTTATTTTGCATGACTCTCTCTCTTTCTCTCTCTCTCTCTCTCATACTTTATTTCTCATTAATATACTTCTTAATTACATTTTAAATTTTTATTAAATGGCAATATGCACATAATTAAATGTAAGTTTTGAAAACTTTCCTTCAAAAAAAACAAAAGTTCTTGTAGCCTAATCAGTAAAGTAGTGTTCCTGTTATATAGGTTTTCCCAAGAGTGGTTGTTGCAAGTTCAAATGTTGAAAGCTGATGCATTATTTTGGAAAAAAAAATGACTTTAGATGAAAAGATTAACTTGTTTCTTAAAAGAAAAAAAAATCCTTGAAGCAAATATCGGTTGGTTTCATTCAGAATAATTAAGTTATTTCTTTAAAATGATAATTATGCATTTCACTATCTTTTGCTGTCATGGATATAAAGTAGTTCAAATAGTTCAATAGCAAAAAAGAACAATTGAAACTTCCGCTTTAGTATGTAAGCAATCATGGCTCTCCACCACTTCCATTTCTTTTCTGTTAATTACCATAACATACTAGGAAAGTGGTCTCCTGTGTTTTTGATTTCAATGTTGTCATTTTTTTAGACTGGCTTTCATTCAAGGAGTTTCCTTCAAGTTCATCATCCATTACTATATGAAGCACTGCATCAAGAACATGTGATGTTGACAGCCAATGAATTGTAGTTCTTCCAGTTTCTTTTGAGCAAATAATCTTTGTAACTGAATGACAATTCCATTCCTGCTTCCAGTTTTCATATTCATAGTGTCTGCAACAATTTATCTTTATGCTCTTCAATAAATTCTATTCAGTTCTTATTCCTTTAACAACAGTATCCACTTTTCCATTTATTAGATTTAATGTTTCTTTTTTCATTTTTCAAAACAAGCACATGATATTCTTGGTCATCAATTCATTTACCATCAAAATGCAATGACCAATTTTCTAACTGTAGAGTTTTCTTTTTCTCTTAAGTTTAACAGCTTCTTTAATAATGTATCTGTAAATGCCAGATTGAGATGTCTCAATCTCTTTTTGAGATAACTGATGATAAACATTTGTTACTTTGCTGGTTGATAAGTTTGTAGATGTTACTAATTTGGTTGCAGTTTTGGTTTTGCTATACTTCTTCCATTTTCTTGTGAGTTGTTCTTCAGAATTTTTTGGACTCTTCAGATTCACTCTCTGGTCAGGTCTTCGTTCAGAGCTTATATACTCTGAAAGAAAAAAAAATTGATTGCAAACTCAACACACTTTTCCCATTCAACATAACAACCCAACTAGTACTCATGCTTATATAGTCCCACAAAATACATGTCGTAAATTTGCAGAGTCATAGTACTACTAATATACGATTTTAGAAGTTTTATGTTGGGGATGACATTTTTAAAAAAATAAATTGAATTAAACCCTTCATTATTTATGAAGGAAAGTTTATTGAATGATGATACAGGAAATCAATTATTATACAAAAAGTCATAACCCATACATACATACATACATACATATATATAACTTCAACTGTTATTGCAGTGGATACTCGTATTTGAAATAAACGCCCCATTTTTATTTTAAACATTATGTATTATATCTATTAGCCTACGAATTCAAGAAATCTTAAAGAGAATGTGCTCTCCAGCAGGGATCAAACTTGCATAACCATTTCTAAAAGCATCTATATCAAATATGAGTTTCCAGTATACATTTAGTGTATGAGATGTGTATGCAAATAACAAATTGTTTGAAACGGAGACAGGAATTCTTTTGATTGATTTTAATGCTAAAAATGAATGTTTTTGGATTTTTTTTTAAATGTGCACTTGAAGGGAATGAAAGGTAAAGAGAATAAAATTTATTTCTATGTATTATTCACGTTTCAATTTGCTCAGTTATAAAAAGGGGGTTTCAGCTTTAAAATGAATACAAAGCTCAGTTTGAGGGTGTTCTGCTTCCAGCAGTTTTAATATCAATGCATTTTAGATTTTTGATTTGTTTTTCAATATAATAAAAATTTGTTTGGTTATTTCAAACTTTGTTGAGAATAAATGAGGGAGGAGACTTTCTAAATTGTTCATAATTGTGATTCCAACATTTTTTTTTTTTTATCCATATTGTCAGCTGTTTGGGTTTTCTAGCATTTTCTTTATTTTTGCTGATACGCCCTTAATTCCTTTTACTCAAATTGTTTGTTTTCCTAAATGTTTTCTGAATATGTCACACTTATTTGTTATAATGACTTGTTACAATGATTAGTTACATTTTGTGATACTGTATTGCTGACTGAGTCACTTATTTTTGATAGTGATTTAATATTGATTGTCACTGGTTGACTGACAAATCTTGTAGTACAGTCTAATGACCCAAACATGACCACTTGCTTTATAAGGTGCCAGTCTGTCATGTTCCTACAACAAACAAAAGCTCTTACTGGATCAGGTATAGACTAAAAGATTGCTAAGCATTTTCTTTGAGATTTGGTTGTTTAACTATTGCAAATTAATTTTGGGAGTTTTTTTCAGAGCAAACTTTGGTCCAACACATCCCAGAAGCATTTTTTTTATTTTTATTTTTTTTTATTCAACTAATATAAGACTCAAGAGTCAATCAAAATAGAGGGTTACTGAATGAAGTTGTTGTATGGGCATAAGAGGAGGAAAGTAAGTGCTGATTATGAGGATATATAGGATAGATAACTGTTGATCTAGACTTGAATAGGTTAAAATTGTAGTTATCAGGGAATAATCCTGTTTGAGAGTTTGTTCTACAAAGTAGCAATTCTTGGGAAGAACCTATCTGGATGGAACTTCCTTTCTTGCCAATGGAATATGAAAGGAATTTGACCCTGTGTACATAGCATGATGGGTCTTAGCTTTAAAAGTCTGAACTGGTGGAACTAAAGAATGTTGCAAATCTGAATATTCACCATGAAAATAGTGATAGTTTGCAACTTTTTGTCTGTGGTGAAAGGGTCTGTAAGGTTGAAAATAATTCATCACCCAAAAGGCCGTGTAAATGTTTTTGTCAATGCTGGAAAGTGGGCAGCTTCAGCTCATATATGGCAACAATATGCCATTTTGGGTCTGATCTGACTCTTGTAAAGATAAATCATGTTAGGAGCTAAGTAGTTACTTGAGCAGTACAGGGATCTGACCATTTTTCCAGCATCTTGAGGACTGGAGTGACTTTGTATCCCACTAGATGGTCAAAGCAAGGATCTTTCATTATGATTGGGGACTCAATGAGGATATATCTGGAGGGTGGGAATTTGGTGGTCAGGACAATGTGGTGCAGTTTTCTTAATGTCTTCTAAAACCATTCTTCTACAACTTGTCTATAATGGCAGGACACATTTTCCTGCTGAAAGATGCCATTGTAGGAGACTTGCAGTTAATAATATTTAACATTTATCACTCTGTATGTGACTTCATTTGCTGTACAAAAAGTTTATCCTGCCTCTGAAGGTGACCCTGATTCCTGAATTTGAATTTTATAGTTGTGTTACCATAACCTGCTATGGCAACAGAAAACATCTTTGAGTGAAATTAAGAATAAGGTTACTGCAATTGAGAGGCCTTGAAAAAGAATGCAGTGGAAAGGGAGGTAATATTAATGCAGGGAGCTAAAAGTTAATCATACCCAAGAAGGTTGTATGCAACAAAATAGTTCAGTTAGGAATAATAATATGCCAATTTTTTTTTTTTCTACCAGTTTTATAACCATACATCATGGTGACCTCAAGGGATGTGAGTTTGAATCTCATTCATTTTCAATTCAATTTTTTTTTTTACCATGAGAAAATGAAGTGTGTGTTTCAAACATCATTATATGTTGGTTTTAACTTTTTGTGTGTGTGTGCATGTGTTTAAAAAAACAAAGAATATTTGTATATTTTGAAGAAATAATGTTACATGTTTTGCAGTAGATGGCAAGTATACACAGATGCACTTTAAAGGCTATTAACATTTTCTAAAGAAACAAACAAGTCAAAGATAATGACATGTTTTGTTTTTTGTTTTTTATTATTATTATTTATTGCCTTCTGCTGACATTCTTTGCTGCAACTATGTTTTTTTTTCCCCTCTTTTCACAGCTGGATGATGTTGATACATCTCGATTATTAAATGAAGACGTTGTCCTTTCCAGCAGTACTGGCACAAATGACGACTCCCCTACAACCACAGAACATATCGGTCAAGACTTGATTCTTGCAAGTCCAGAGGCTGAACGGTGAGAACCTAATATTTTTTTTTTTTTATTTTTTTTATAAATCTTCTCTTTGATGAGACAATAATTCAATGTCTACTAGTAGTAGTTCTAGTGTTTAAGGTGCTGTAACAGGTTTCATAACTGACCTAAGGGTTGGGGAATTATCATAGAATTAAAAAAAATAGTCTGCTTTAAAGAAAAATTGGAGAATTCTTGTTTCATGTCAAAGAAAACAGAATTTTCCAATGAAACTTGGCTTGCATTGAATAGCAGGTTTATTATATTGTAATGGTATTAATATTAACCGTTTCCTTCTAAGGAAATATTCAACATTTATTGATCAAACAACCAGTACTACTGTAGGCTGAAATTTATGAAATCATTCTCTTAAAAGTTTTTCAGGAAAATAGGTTTCTCAAGCCCAGTAGCTGTTATCACTCTTTCCAGTATTGATGGGGGTTTCCTTCCTAACCTTTTATTTGAAGTAGTGTGGAATATCGACATCTTGATTATATCATTATTTTCTCTTCTCAAGCCCAGTAGCTGTTATCCCTCTTTCCAGTATTGATGGGAGTTTCTTTCCTAACCTTTTATTTGAAGTAATGTAAGGTTTGTCAACATCTTATGTCATTATTTTCTTTGAATTACATGTGCTAGTCATTTTGTCACTGCTGTTGAAAGTCCTTAAGTGATGTGGCTTCTGCTATCTGGCAGAGTTCTTTGTGATTCTTTAGCGCCAGGCCACAGTGTTTGAAGAAGTGTGATCTTTGCCAAAAATCATAGGCTTCACTCAAAGCCATTTTTAACAACTGAGAAAGCCATTGTACAGAGCTGACACTTTAGTTCTCAACAGGTTTGGCACCATGCATGACTTGAGATTGAAAATAAATGCTGAATGTTATTTATGTGATATGTTTTCTAGGCTTAGTAAAATTGGAATAAAAATGTCTACTTCTTTCAATCCTGAATGCATGGACCCAAGTATTTGTGCCTCTCGTGTCAGCTGGAGGCGTGTCCACCTTTTTTGCCTCTAATGTCAGTTGGTAGCATGTTCACCTTTTTGCTTCTTGTGTTAGATGGATATTTTATTCGAATAAAAATGTGTTTCTATTTTTTATTTTTGTTCATTCAACATTTTAAGCTATTCCAGGGCACAGCTATATACTAGATATTTTCTGTTTGATACACAATGTCCCAGAATCAGGGACTTGGCTTGGAACTTGTGTATTGCCATTCTTGGACATTGAGATTTTACTACAGACTTTCTTACTGCATTGATAATGTCAAGATACACCCACTTCATTTTATATACACTATATATGGCACATTTGTGTGGATGAGGGGCATATTCAACATTTGATAATTTTATCGCAATTCACGCTTAAAGGTTTTAGGCAGTTTTGATCAACATTTCTTTTCATGTTTAGCTGTAAGGAATTGTAAATGTAGGACTACCTTACACTTAAGCAAAATAATAACAATAATAATATTTATTAAGAATTTATTACAGGAAATATCAAGTTTTACAGAAACATTGTTGTTAATTATGTATTTAGTTACATAACAAATAAGTAAAAATATAAATTTTGATGCTATATTTGATTTGTTGTTAAGTATTTTTCATTTTCTTTTGTTACTATAAGCATTTTAGAATACTTTGGCTGTAATACCAAGTTTCCTAAGTTGAACAAACTGGAACTATTTCGTTTGTTTTGTTACCTCTCTTTTCCATTAGAAAAAAGCAATCTAAAAACAATAGTCATTTTGATGGGCAATAACGAAATTCCAAAATTTAGAATAATCTTATTCCATTTCAAAAATAAAGTCTGTAAAAAGGATTATTTTAAATTAATATACAAGCAATAATAAAATACTTTTGACAAAAACCTTAATAATTGCACTGTAATTATATAACAATAATGTAATGAAAAATTTACAGTTTATGTTACCTCATCTCATTTGCATGGGATTTTCTTTTGCTCACTGCACCTTTGGCTCTTTTGATTGCAATCTGTTCCTCTGTTGGCAGAGATTTCTTTTTGTGAGGCATACTGCTGCTGTAGGCAACAATAAAACTACAGAAGAACTCCAAATTGATCACTGCATTTAAGTATTGCATATTAAGCTTACTTTTTAAAAGTTCAACGATAATTCTTCTGCTGCCACTTCATTTAAAGACAATTTGATGAATGTAGGTCTTTACTTTCTGTACAAACAATTATTTTTATTTCATGGGTGACTTTTGCTGGATTTCTCAATTAATTTTGATTATTTCCAGATTTATTTCAAAGTTATAAAAATTGTTATTGTATAAAAAATTTGTCACAAAAAATCACTGAAAACAATCACAGTAATGAAAACTTGGGAATCCCAAATTTCAGGATTGCAGGTCCAGATCTGGCCTGGAAAGTTTTTAATTTGCTCACAGTTGGTCTGATTCCAAAATGGTATGATATGTTGGGCTACAGCTTCTAGGAGTAAACTTTAAAAAGTGGGACACACTGATATTTGCATTTATTTATATTTGATAGTTTCATGACCAACCTGGAAATTTAAGAAAAATCAGGAAATTTTGGTTAAATGTTGGGAAAATCAGGGATTTTTATAATGCAACTTGACATGCATTGAATGAGATATATATATATATATATATATATATATATATATATATATATATATATATATATATAATATATATATATATATATACAAAATATACATAATATGCAAAATATATAAAAAAATTCCCATACATGTATATTTTCAGAAAAAAAAAAAATTTTTTTTCCAAGAGGAAGGATCCAGGTAGAACTCAATGTCTAGGACAGAGTAAGGATATAATAAAAAAAGCTTAAACACTAATATTCCATGGTCATAATTTATTCCATTGGAATCGTAAAATACGATCCAAATCATCAGACCTACAAATTCAAAATGAAAACAGAAAAAAACAACTCCGGAAATCAAAACAGAATTTAGAGAAAGTGTAAGTATGAGGAGGAGGGAGATGAAACCTTAACAGAGGGAATTTTTTAAAAGAGGAGAGAAAGAAAGTCGACGGATGTCTAATGCATAAAGATACATTTCGTGGTGGAGAGAGACGGGACGAAGGAAAATAAAATTGTGTTTACTTAAAGGGTCGCTTTGTAATTGAGAAAATTTGACAAATTAATATCGACTACAGGTTAGAAATCAAATATAAATATATGAAGATGAATATAACGATTGTCTAATTTAGCAAGGACCAAATATTTCTATGTTCAAAAACACATACTAATACACACAAAAACATATACAAGTAGGTACATACACTTAGGCATGTACTCACAAACACACACACAGACATATATATATATATATATATATATATATATAAAAACCTAAAAATATATTCACATATCCACACATACACATATTCATCTATATTCATATACACACACTTTTCACATACATATACACGCATACATATGCCCCCATGCATATATTCATACATACATGCATACATATACATACACATACATACATATACACATATATATATATATATATATATATACCCATACATACACACATATATATATATATATATACACACACATGCAAATATATACACACCCTTACACATGTGTGTGTATATATATATACACATGCGAATACATACACACCCTTACACATGTATATATACATACACACACACACATACACATAAACAAACATGTATATACATAAGTACACATACACACCTATACATATACATACATAAACACCTCCATACGTACATATGTACACACTTACATACATACACACATACATACATATACATACAAATATACACACATATACACACATATATACACATACATACATATAAATACACACACAGAGATACATATATGTACATATATATAAAAAGTTAAAATCTAAATAAGTGACGATTCAAATATTTGCGCGTGTATGAAAAAAAAAATTTCATATATATATCTACATATATATACATGCATATACATACATGCACACACATACACAAACATATATGCATATATAAATACATAGCGCATCACATAAACGTGCACAATGATACATTTAGAGATAAACATAATAGTCATACAATTAAAATGTCATGCCCAATGTTATAGGACTAAGATGGAGCCGACATAAGTGACAACATGTTACAAAACGGTGTTCAAGTTTTGAAACGTTTCTTATGTCTACATTTAGAGAATATCTCATTCCGAAGATTCAGCAGCTCATCTCGATTCTTATCTTTGATAATGAAGATTTTTTTCCGCCATGCATAGATCACACCGATCGCGGAAGTTATTAGGTGTTCTGGCTCTAGATAGGAATCTCCATTTCAAAATTGGGTTTAATCCCTTATCCACCAGTTCCCAGTAGTGTTTGGATAAGGAAGTCTGTCTACTGAGGCATCTATATCTAAATGAGCGTCTATGGTTGTATAGACGCTGCTTCCAATCACCGGCGGATATACCTATGTATCTTTTTTTTCTCGTTTATATTTCCCTCGGGAAAGATAGTTGCCTCGTAAGGTTTCATCTCCCTCCTCCTCATACTTACACTTTCTCTAAATTCTGTTTTGATTTCCAGAGTTGTTTTTTTCTGTTTTCATTTTGAATTTGTAGGTCTGATGATTTGGATCAGATTCTGATTCCAATGGAATAAATTATGACCATGGAATATTAGTGTTTAAGCCTTTTTATTATATATATATATATATATATATATATATATATATATATATCAGATCAGGAAATTTCAGTGGAAATTGGTGAGCATATAAGAACTGGTGTTATTCTTAGTTGTTGGTTTCTGGCTTCTTTTACTTTCTGATTGGTCAATAATCCATTCCTCTTGTTTGAGACTTTGGTGAGTGATGTCCCTTGTCATCAATGATTTTGCTAAACATTAAATCTGAACCCAATCATATTAGTAATATGGTCTATAATTTTGCAGGGTAACAAGAAACTTCAGACTTTCAAAATTGATCTCTTAATTTTTCACAAATGAAACCTAAGAATGACCAATATAATAACTCATCACATTGTGTCAGGAATCATTCTTTGCTGCTGGTACTGTGTAACCTAGTACAAATGGTTTTGTGTTTATTTAAGGAGAAGATGGACACTGTGAGAAAAGCTGGTTGCATTAGGAGATGCAAAGAATGGGGAATTGTTCTGAATGGTTTATAGAAAGCATCCACATAAGTAATTACCAATCTATTTTTCTTTCTATAAATTCAGTGTCTTTTGTGTTTTTGTTTTTTTTTTTCCAGTGAGGCTTTGGCTGAACAGTTGGATTCAATCCAAGTTGATCTGGATGATTTGCAAGGCATGCTGTCAGATAGCAGTGGCAGTTATAACCTAGATACCAACACACTCCTTTCTGTAAGTTATCAGCTTATTTTGGCAGGCTTGAATTTGAATAGTTTTATAAACTATATACACTGTTGAATGTTTAAATAGAAACAATACTTAATTTCTTTTCTTCCTTTTTCTCTCTCTCTCTCTCTCCTTCCTTTCTCTCTCTCTCTCCTTCCTTTCTCTCTCTCTCTTTCTCTCTCTCTCTTTCTCTCTCTCTCTCTCCTTCCTTTCTCTCTCTCTCTCTCTCCTACCTTTCTCTCTCTCTCTCTCTCCTACCTTTCTCTCTCTCTCTCTCTCCTCTCTCTTTTTCTCTCTCTCTCTCTCCTTTCTCTCTCTCCTTTCTCTCTCTCTCTCTCCTCTTCTCTCTTTTCTCTCTCTCTCTCCTTTTCTCTCTCTCTCTCTCTCTTTCTCTCTCTCTCTCTCCTCTCTCTCTCCTTTTCTCTCTCTCTCTCTCCTCTTCCTCTTCTCTCTCTCTCTCTCTACCTTTCTCTCTCTCTCTCTCTCTCTCTCTCTCTCTCTACCTTTCTCTCTCTCTCTCTCTCCTTTCTCTCTCTCTCTCTCTCATACCTTTCTCTCTCTCTCTCTCTCTACCTTTCTCTCTCTCTCTCTCTCCCTCTCTCTCTCTCTCCTACCTTTCTCTCTCTCTCTCTCCTTCTCTCTCTCTCTCTCTCTCTCTCTCTCTCTCTCTCTCTCTCTCTCTCTCTCCTTCCTCTCTCTCTCTCTCTCCTTCCTCTCTCCTCTCTCTCTCCTTTCTCTCTCCCTACCTTTCTCTCTCTCTCCTCTCTCTCTCTCCTACCTTTCTCTCTCTCCTCCTTTCTCTCTCTCTACCTTTCTCTCTCTCCTACCTTTCTCTCTCTCCTTCCTTCCTTTCTCTCTCTCTCCTTCCTCTCTCTCTCTCCTTCCTTTCTCTCTCTCTCTCTTCCTTTCTCTCTCTCTCTTCCTTTCCTCTCTCTCTCTCCTTCCTTTCTCTCTCTCTCCTTTCTCTCTCTCTTTTCTCTCTCTCTCCTTCCTTTCTCTCTCTCTTCCTTTCTCTCTCTCTCTCTCCTCTCCTCTCTCTCCTTTTCCTCTCTCTCTCCCTTTCTCTCTCTCTCTCTCCTTTCTCTCTCTCTCTCTCTCTCTCTCTCTCTCCTCTCCCTCCTCTCTCTCTCTCTCCCCTCTCTCTCTCCTCTCTCCTCTCTCTCTCTCTTTCTCTCTCTCCCTTTCTCTCTCTCCTTTCCCCTCTCCTCCTCTCTCCCTCTCTCTCTCCCTTTCTCTCCTCTCTCTCCTTTCTCTCTCTCTCTCTCTCTCTCCCCTCTCTCTCTCTCTCTCTCTCCTTTCTCTCTCTCTCTCTCTCTCTCCCTCTCTCTCTCTCTCTCCCTTTCTCTCTCCCCTCTCTCCCTTTCTCTCCTTCCCTCTCTTTCCTCTCTCTCTCTCTCTCCTTTCTCTCTCTCTCTCCTTTCTCTCTCTCTCTCCTTCCTCACTCACTCACACACACACACACACACACACACACACAGTTTTTAATCTTTTACTCATTTAATGAATTTGTAAAATTGTTTTCAGAGTATGACTTTAAATTTCCCCTCCCCCCAGCACATTATTGAATGGAGTTTCTTATTGTTTATTTCTCATCAAATTTTAAATAGCCTTTGTTCCTTATATTCCTGACAAATTGCCATTGTTCTAACCTGGAATTTCACACTATTTCCTCAGGGAGAGGTTTAGCTTTTTTAATCCATAATTCAGCCACCAACTCTCTCTGGCATGAAAGAAGCATCAAGTGCTAAAAATGATTGTAGGTATTTAAAAAAAAATAAAAAAAAATTGCTTGATGACAAGAGGAAATGGAATCCATAATTACTTCACAATCATTCATTCTGCAGTAAATAGTTTTTTAAATTACACTAAAAAAAAACCAAGGCTTAACATTTTTGTTTACAATTAACGCTTTTTAATTTTCAATTTTTTTTCTTCTGATTTTCAAAGATTTAGTTTTTATTTTTATTTTTTATTTTTTAACTAAAAACCCATATACTTTGATTCTTCATTCCGATAGAGATCTTTGCTCTCCCCACAAAACATGACCCCCCCCCGTTTTTATCTGCAAGTACATATGTCCATTATTATTATTATCCTCTGACTCTCCTTTCAGTTTTTTGGACAAGATACAACACCAAGCATTCCAAGTGGTGGCTGGCAAGATACAGTAATATTCATTATAATTTCCTTGTGTACCTTTTGTGTGAATGTGTAGATAGTTTGTTTTTATTATCATCAATATTAAGGTATTATTGTCATCATTTGAAATGACAATATTGTAGTTGGTTGTAAAATGTGGTCGGAGCATTATAGGATGATTTCAATTACTCTAATAGCAACCTAAAGAACTATCCACTTAATATTAAAGACTAACAAGAGTGTTCAGCATTGTTCAGATTTCTAAATATCTAAAATGAATACAAACCTATTTTGTCAGCATCTTCATAAAGCAATTGATACAATCTCCATTTGATCCAGGAATGTTGATTCTGGTCTAGTTTCTAAGTAGCTAAAATGAATCCAATCACATGAAATCATTATACTTTGTCAGCATATTTTGAAAGCAATTCTTCTAGGAATGTTGATACGATCAGAATTGTTGCTTCCAACTACAAGGGAGGGGTGGGGGGATACAGGTAAGATATTTTTTTTTTTTTCATGTTGCTGGTGAGAATTATTCAACATCCTTTCATAATTAAGAAAATAATTTACAAAAACAATTTTTTTTTATTCATTTTCCTGGGATTATTATTTTTTTTTAATTACTGCACTAATTTGTACAAAAATTACTGGATGTGGATTTTGTTTTTTTGTTTTTTAAATTGATAATTTTAATTTATTTTATTGCATTCATTTGCCTCATTTAGTTATGCCTTTTCCCAAGGGCATTAGTGTGGAATGAATGCAGATCATCTCAGAGTTTGAACTCAGCAGCACATATAAATTTGAATTGGTGAACTAACTGCTTACTCACCTGATATTATTTTAGACATGTAAATACAAATGTCTAAGGTAACCTGCTTTAGGTGATGTCATATAAAAGATATCCTTTTTTTCCAATTGGACTGGAAAAGGCAATGTTGACCTGTGACAGTATTCTGTACTATCTCTTCCCTGGTCATCCTGGTATCAAATTAATCTTATAGAATAGTTATCATCCACCTTTTGGACAGCTATAAACAGGTGCACACAGAGTAAATAGATAATCATATATAGAATTCATTTTTTTCCTGTAACCCTTGTGTGATTAGCCTAGTTCTTGGGTTGCAAAGAATTTGTTCACTTGATGATAGAATTCTTTCCTTGTGTCAGAAAATTGTAGTAATATACATGTTTTTTGTTAAAATTGTCTTTGAATGTTATTCATTATCTCGGCGTTTAAGGCATAATAACCAAGGACATTTTCAGAATAAGAGCTCTAAAAATGAACTGAAATTTTAATCTTTGTTTCTTAGAAAAAAAAAAGTCTTTCATTTAATCTTATTGTGATATAAGAATGCAATAATGGTCACTTTCACTTACTGAATTCCTACTTGGCAATTTGAATGTCTTCTCATAGATTGTCAATCAGTCAGCGCTGTGTTAATGTGGACTCTGTATAGAGTACGATTTCAGCTACAAAAATGTTTCAGAACAGGAGATGATGATAAAAATCAAAAACAACTTTAGTGAAAATGAGCTTAATGTTTATGACAAAGTTAACATCTTTTGTGCAATGATCATCTAGTACATGCAGAATATGATGTTCACTTGTCCTTACTCTGAGTTTCATTAGCCGTACATCCACTCCTGAGGAGACTTGATTATCAAATACCCTGGTTGAGTTTTTTAAAAAAAATTTTTTAATTTTATCACAAAACACAATCATTGTTTTTATATATATTATTTTTTTTTTTTTTTTTTTTATATATATCAACAATAATATTAGGAGGGGGGAAATGTATGAAAAATTGGAAAAAGTTTTTGTGATGTGTTTCGTCCTTTAAGACTTCATCAGGTTAAATTTATGTTGGTGCGACTACACATGTGCACAAATGAGGGATACTGGGAATTTTTTTATATATATGTATATAATCTAGTCAATTTCATTTAAATGAAACGTGTCATACAAAAACTATTCCCTCTTGTATATATATATTTATTTTCCTTCCTCCCATCCCACTTCCTTTTTTTTTTTTTTTTTCCCTTCCTATCCGAATTGTCTGTGGTGTATATGTGTCACCAAAATGTATCTTTATGTATTAGACATCCGTCGACTTTCTTTCTCTCCTTTTTAAATCCACCCCACCCACATCTCAAAAAATTCTCTCTGTCACTCATCCTCATACTTACACTTTCTCTAAATTCTGTTTTGATTTCCGGAGTTGTTTTTTCTGTTTTCATTTTGAATTTGTAGGTCTGATGATTTGGATCGTATTTACATTCCAATGGAATAAATTATGACCATGGAATATTAGTGTTTAAGCCTTTTTATTATATATATATATATATATATATATATATATATATATATATATATATACACACACACACAAATCAAAAATTAATGCAATTTGTTTTATCATAAAGAATACAAACAAACATATCATACATCAAAATATATCTATACATCACAGGTGCACATTCCTACTTTTCAACATAGTCACCACCTCTTTCAATAGCAGTGTTTGTTCCACCTCTGAATGAGAGCATGTAACCCAGTTTCCTAAAACTCAGCTGGCTGCTGATGTAGCAAATTCCTTACAACAGTTTTCACTTCTTCATCACCCTGACTTGGCACCCTCAGACTTTTATCTCTTTCGTCCCATAAAAGATGCACTGAGGAGCAGATGTTATGCAGCTGAAGAAGTGAAAACTGTTGTAAGGAATTAGACCATGTTGAAAAGTAGGGATGTGGACATGTGATGTATACCTATATCTTGATGTATGATATGTTTGTTTTCCCTATATAATAAAACAAATTGTGTTACTTTTTGACTCCCTCTCATGTGTATATGTATGTCTATATATCTATATACTACTTTAAGTTTTATTTTGTGGATACCCGTGTTTTAGTAGAGGCTCTGTTTGTCAAAAAATAGCAGTGTGAATTATATCTGCTGGAGATGAGCACATTTTCTTTATTAAGCTTCTCAAATCTGCAGACCAGTAGACATAATTCCCATTGTATCTATCTATATTTCTGAGATGAGGTATTATGTACATTATTTGCATTATTCAGACTATTGTCCTCATCTTTGTTGCCATATTTATTACAACGTTTCAGCCATTGTATGCCCTGGCCTTCTTCAAGTGGTTGGAATGTCGAACTGAACCCTTTATTTCACTCACTGGGGTAGACTGTTCGAGTTCCATGTGCCATGTTTAATGGATGTCAGTTATCAGTTATCTCCTGTTAATTTCCCTCTGAAAGTTCTCCACTGCCTTAACTGGGTATTGAACTCACACTCTTTGGGTCCTGTCACTGGATCTAACCAACGCCTTTATCCACTGTGCCGAAACGTAATAAAGATGAGGACAATAGTCCGAATAATGTAAATAATGTACATAATTCCCACTGTTTTTAAAAAAAATAAATAAATAAAATGGAGCATTTATTCAAACATAGGTATCCGCAAAATAATAGGAAATTATGTCTGATAAAAAAAACCATAAGATTCTTTTGTTCATGTTTTGGTTACAGAAACTAGGTTAGCAGATACAGATTTTAAAATGTCCAAACAAGAGAGGTGCATCTTCTAAAGCTTTGCTTAAATGGCTTCTCTTAACCTAATGATAAATCCAGCTTAATATAAGGAGAAATATATATATATATATATATATATATATATATATATATATATATATATATATATATTCTCTATTGCATATTTAAAAAAAAAAAAATGTATGATCATCATTCTGATAGCTTGAATCTTTTCTTAAAATAGGTCTTAAAAAAAAAAAAAATGGAAAAGTGAAAATATGTACAATACCCAAAATCAATCAATCATACACCCATCTTTTTTACAAGAACATTTCAAATAATATTAGCTAATTATATTGTCAGAAAGCAACTGTTACTGAAAATATATATTGTAAAAAAGATGGGTGTATGATTGATTGATTTTGGGTATTGTACATATTTTCACTTTTCCATTTTTTTAAATATGCAATTCTCATAATTTGTAAAGATGAAAAAAGTCATTTATTTGTTGAGCTAGAAAGTTTTTCAGAAAAATGTGATTTTTGCTTAGGGGTGGGCACAGACACTGAAATTATTTTCAACCATTTTTTTTATTTTTGGATATTGTGAAAATGCATGCTTTCATTTTTTTTTTTTTTTTTTTTTTTTTTTTTTTATGTTAATTGGAATTGTGAATGTTGTTTGTTTTTTTTTTTTTTTTTTTTTTTTTTTTACGGCATTCTTTGATTTTTGAATATTACAGTGAGAGTATTAATGATGCATGTCCATATGGCATAAAAACAATGTAGTATAGTTATGGAAGGAGGGTTTAAGCTGTTTGTTTTATGAGTCACTCTTAAGATTATCTACTGAAATATTTAAGGTTTATGGTATTTAAAGGAGGCCTGAGGGAGATTTTGAACCAAACACTTACTCACAAAACCTTTGTATTCACTGGAATTGACTTGAATTTTTAGGAAACTAATAACTTTGATCATTGTTTTCATAGATGTGCATAAAAATAGTTTCTCTTAATAACAAGAAAGAAACTTAATATGGTTAGAAATTTAAAAACAAACCTTTTAACTGCACAAGATCATTAATAGGTTCAAAATTCTACATTAAATTTCAAGTTTTTTTTTTTTTTATTTCTCTTTTCATATTGTTTTCTTTTTGCTACTGTGATAAAAATCATTTTGATCTAGACTTCTTGAACTCTTTTTATAAATGCTTTTTTTTTTTTTTTTTTTTTTTTTTTTTTCTTAATGAAGATTGTATAGTGTCACTTACTCTGATTTTCATTTTTTTTTTTTTATCCCAAAATCTTAGAAATAAATCTATAAAAGATTGTGCACATAATTTGCTTTACATGGTTCACATTTAAATTGTTACTTGACATTAATGTCTTCCATTTTTGATTGTGGCTATGTACAGGCATAAACACAAATTAATTTCTATTTGCAGCTTCTCAATGGATTGGAAGAGGAACAACAGGCAAAATCATCAAATGTTACAGGTTTGTAAAAGAAAAATCAAAATTTCCTTTATACTATGAAATTGTATGGATTGTATGTTTACAAGGGAATAAAAACTGTAATTAATGCCATAGCAATAAATGAAAGCTCAAATCCAGTTTCCAATGTATTTGGCTGTTTATTCGGGGGTGGGGGTAGCTAAGTAGGTGACAACTAGAACAACTTCTGCCATATCAGACGAGTAGATCAACTTTTTTTTTTTTAACCAGCAAGAATTCTGTCCTCTTCCCATTTTTAGATTATGACATGACCAGTAAAACTGTTTATATAAGCAAACAGAAACCTGTAACTTCTGACCAAGTATCAAGTTTTCATTTACTTAGCTATTATTTTTATTTTCTTTTGCTCAAGTGATTGGCTGTTTTGAAGATCCTACTGTAGGTCATTAAAAAACAAAAAACCTTTAAGACTGGTTGTGCGTGCGTGCGTGTGTGTGAAATCAAAGAGCAAAGTTTGAATTCCAGCCAAATTCTTTCAATTCACTTATACCATTAAGAAAGGTGAGAATCCATCTTTTCTCCCTTAGCTGTGGGTTAAATACCAGGACAGACTAAGATCTGTAGCCTTGGTTGGCAACCAGTCTAGAGATTGACTCGAAAAAATCGCTCATCTCCCAGCAAGCCTTGACCCCTTGTGTGGATGCATCTGTTCATTATAATATTTATTATGCCTTTAAATTCTTTGAGGAACATAGAGCCACAAGATATCATTGCAGTTTATTTTTGAGTAAGTTGGTTGTTAGCCTACTGCATAACCCCAACCGGGAGGATCAGGTTTTGAATACAGAGTTGTCTTTCTCCTAGACCAGTTGCCACCCAAGGCTATAGAACCTGGTTTGTCCTGCTATTTACCCATAGCTGGGGGAGAAGAGGATTCATACCTTATGTAATGGATTCGACTGGAATTCGAACTTGACACACCAATTCCTCAATCAAAGCCACTATCCATTACTCCACCGTACCTCCTCCTCCTCTCTTCATTAAATAGTATGTGAAATTCTTCAATTCTGCCACAAGTGTTTTATTTTACAAAAAAAGTAAATTGAAATTTCTCTAAGTTTGGAAATGTCTGTTCTACAAATTATCAAGAACTTTTTTTATTTTTAGGTTGCGAATTGATCCAGTATACGCCTGCTGACTTGTCGTGTTGGATGGATGATCCAACCAATGTAGAAAGTGATGAAGATGATATCTTGAATACACAACTGAACACACCAGAGGCTCTTGATAAAGAAGTGGAATTGCCGTCATCTACAGGCAAGCGAAAAAGTAAACGGCCAATGCGAATATTGATTTCATAATTAACAGAAAAGATAGGAATGAAGAAAAAGTCTCCAAAATATGTAGGGTGGGAGAAATATTTTTTTTTTTTTTTTTTTCCTTCTCATTTTGGCTCTGTTTGCCTTGAATATCTTTATCCCTCCATTTGCTTCTCTTACTGACTTTTTCATTATCATTCATATTTTCTTCCTGCCATTATCTCTCATTTTGGATTTGTCCTTTCTCCATCCAGTATCGCCCCACCCCCGTTTTTTTTTTTTTTTTTTCTCTCCAATCAATCATTTGATATTGACACTATAAACCTTCCACCCTCTCTCTCTCTCTCTCTCCACCCCCCCTTTTTCTCTCTCTCTCTCCCCCTCCCTTTTTCTCTCTCTCTCCACCCCTCCTTTTTCTCTCTCTCTCCACCCCTCCTTTTTTTTTCTCTCTCTCTCTCCACCCCTCCCTTTTTTCTCTCTCTCTCCACCCCTCCCTTTTTTTCTCTCTCCTCCTTCCTTCCCTTTTTTCTCTCCTCCTTTTTTCCTTTTTTCTCTCTCCTCCTTCCTTCCCTTTTTTTCTCTCTCCCTCCTTCCTTCCCTTTTTTTTCTCTCTCCCTCTCTCTCCACCCCCTCTCATCATTAACACTTATTATATTTAGCTCTATTTCCCTCTCTTTGCCACCATTAACTTAGGATTTGATTTCAACTCCCTCAGTAGTCTCTGACATCCTTATCACTGTATCTTTGGGTGTCTCTCTTTCTTCTACCCCCACCCCCTCTACTGTGGTCTATCTGTTTTTATCTCTTTTAAATTCTCCTTTATTGTTCTAAGACATTTAAAAGCTGGCCAAGAAGCTCCTTTAGAGAAAAGATCAGACATACCCACCTGAGAAAGTCCTCGAGCCAGATTTCTGCTTAGAAATTATTTTTAAGCATATTTGAATTATTTTCAGCAACACTTAAATCACATTTGAATACTTACCTGTCTATTTACCAGTTGGTTCTCATTGACTATTAACTGCAGGGTTAGTAGGACATTGTGACTAATTGATGCAATTGCCATTAAGTACACTTACTCAGCTAACACGTCTGGACTACCACTGACAACTTTTTTCTTCAACATTTTTGGAAGGAGCTTGGTAAAAATGGGAAAGATGTTTGTTTATAAACAAATCAAGAATGGACCGAGATGTTGCACTTCTGATAAAAGAAGTGGGGGGTGGGGAATTCATTTATTTTTTAAATGCAAAATAGACCCTGCAAAAAAAAAAAAAAAAAAAAAAAAAAAAAAAAAAACACACCCTGCCAAAAATAATTAAAAAAAAAATAAATAAGAGCAAAAAAAGAAGCCAAAAAGAAAAAAAAAAGTGCTCTTACCAGCCAGCTGTAACAGATTTTACAGGCATCTTGGAATAAAATGGCTTGCATTAAATTAGGTTTTAGTTGTATTTTTAGATTATTGGGAGGGAGAAATAATTGAAACTTTATTTGACTATTTAGTGTTGATTACAGCAAAATTATAAATGCATTGATAAAGCATTTCTGCACAGTTCTTTTTTTACTTTTTCATTTTACTTTTTCGTTATTTCAAACAAATTATTTTTGCAAAAATTTGAAATTTTAGCTTTGCTTTTAAGAATTTTTTCTTCTTTTAATCAAAAATGCTCATTGATGAAAAGTTCATTACAGAACACAGACAAATGTATATATTTTTTTTATCTGCAAAATAGATGTGCCATTATAATTTATTACACCTGTTACTTGTATGCTTACCTCAATGTTTTCTTCTTTTGGTCTGTCTACAGGTGCTTCATAATTTGTCCCTGCTTATTCTAATGCTATAGCTGTATTGTCTTTTTTTAGAATGTATCGACTAAAATCTTGCTCAAACAAAAATTGATGAAAACTAACTGTGAGCAACATTTTGCTTCTAATATAAGAAATTTATCTTTGATCTTATCGATAAATACCTTGACATTTTATTCAACACTAGACTTAATTTTTTAGCTTAATAGTTCTATTGCAGTAAGCTCCTAGAAGGTGTTTTGGTGCTTGAATATTTCAAAACGTTTTTTTTTTTTTTTTTTCCATATTCCAATAATATTAAGAGAAGAATATGTAAATTCTGATTTTTTTTTTAATAATATTGACACAAGATCAAATCTGAACCTGAATATTGAAGAACTATTAGTCTTAGGCTAAGTCACTTAACTGTCGTCAAACTTGAAAACATGCTAACATTATTGATATATACATTTTTTTTTTTTTTTTTTTTTTTTTAAATTTATTAATATCGAACATTTTTTTTCCCAAAGCACATTACACAAACATTTGAAGTTTATAATTACTTTTTTTCCAGTTATTTATTTTTTTTAATTTAATTTAAAAATTGGAGACCTGTTATAATGAACATTTTTAATCAAAAACAGAAGAAAAAAAATTACATAAATTATGTTTGTGGTTATTCTTAATTTAAGATAAGTAATTACAAACCTTAAATGTTTAGGCATATGCGTTTGAAAAAAATAATATTTAAATCTTCAACATTTAATAAATTTAGAAAATTAAAAAAACTATGCAGATATCAATGACGTTAGCCTATTTTCAAGCTTAACATTTACTTGTAAATGACAGTTAAATGACTTTATCCTACAGTCAGGGAACGATTTGATACTCTATCAATATTATAAACAAGACACCCCCCCCTCTTAAATAGATAAATCATTATTTTCCAATTCTGACAAATGTTGCATTCTTAGGAAATCCCTGAAGAATTTTAATCTACAAACTCCCCCCCATTTTTCCAATTTCTTTTTATATTCTTTATTCTCATGTGTGGAAGATTAATTATTGCTGAAAACGATTGCAAAGGCTTCTCTCCTGATGATGCTTTTATCTCATACTATTTAAGTGAAGGCTGAAGCAAGTGAATATCTCTTTAAAAGACTTTGACTGAAAGGTCAGTCATCTGAACAAAATTTGGATATGTATATTTAACCCTTTAGCCTTCAATATGCTAAAAACATGCCCCCCACCTCTCTCCTAAATATCGACGCTCAAAGTTTCACCATTTGTGTGACTTCCTGTATTAATGTTGTCATATATTATGGAAGGAGTGGGTTGAACATTGAGAGCCAATATTTAAGGGGGGGTGGTGGTTGAATACAAAACTATTTAACATGTTATTTTCTCTGAAGATATCTTTTTTAATGAAGATATAGCCACTTTGAGCAGTGAGATAGTGTTGGTTACATAATCAATAACAAAAGCCACTAATATAAACTTCATTAAAAAAAAAAAAATTCTTGATTGGTTGTTAACAAATTTATTATGTGAATTTAAGTTCTAGGTTTGATATTCCTAAGTTTATTACCTGACAAATATTTGTGTTATTCCTATAGGCTCAGTCCCATGACAGTTCCCTCCACATATCTTGGTCAAAGTAGACCTGACGGAGACCATCCTTCTTCAGGTTAGAACACAGCTGATGTCCTCTGATTTGATGGCTTGCCTTGGTCACAGACTTTCAAATTCTGAAATGAATATTGATAAGTAGTTAAAATTCAGCGAGGCTATTAGGATGAGAAGAATTGTAGCTGATGGCTGGCTCGCAAGTTGATATTAAATCAATATCAATTGGGTTACCATGGAGAAGGGGGGGGATAATGCGAGACCTGAAAAACCACTCCTGATCCTTGACTAAAAAACATCATATCACTGAGGTGTGCCAGAACAGAGAATCTAGATGATCTTTCAGAAAATTTAAATTTAATCTGTTAACTTGTCTATATTTCTAAGGTATTGTAATCACATTATTTACATTGTTAGGACTGTTGTCCTCATCTTTATTGCCATCTTCACGATGTTTCGGCTGTTGTACATTCTGGCCTTCTTCAGGTGATTGGAATTTCAAACTGAACTCTTTATTTCATCCACTGGGGTAGATTGTTTTAGTTCCACATGACATGCCTCTTCCAAATGTCTCGTTTATCTCTCCCTTTTAACTCAACTCTGCAAGTGTTTTTTTTTTTTTTTTTGTTCACCACTCCAGTAGCCAGGTATTGAACTCATAATTCTTTGTGTCAAGTCATTGGATCCAACCAATCTACCCCAGTGGCCAAAATAAAGGGTTCAGTTCAAAATTCCAATTATCTGAAGTCTGAGTGTACTTTTGAATATGGCAATAGTAATAATGTTAATCTGTTACTTCTGAAACAGGCAATCTGGCATGGCCATCAATTAATAATTTTGAAAAGTGGGCTTTATTCAGGGAGAGGTTGCTGAGTTTGTGAACTTAAGAGAGAGTTAATCTTTTATCTGTGAATTACCATGACTTCTTGGGGAAAACATAGTGGACTGTTTTCTAGGAGGAGAAAAGGTAGATTCATGCCTTTCACTAAAGTCATTTGTGCAAAAGTCAATGCAACAATCTAGGTGCAATTTGAACTCCGCTTGGCAATTTTTTTATTTTTTTTGTGCTGATAACAAATGTGGATAGCATGATGGCTGAATGCATGATTGGTGTTTATTTGGCACAACACTGTTCCCCGACCCCTGAAAATGTAGTCTGGCATTTAAAAAAAAAAATGCATTGTTATATCTAAGATTGAATTCTAAACAATTTGTTTTACTTTGCATTAATCAAGTTTTTAGCTATGGAAGACATTTTGCAGTAAGCATCAATGATAAGACTCAGTAAATAAAATGTTGCTCTTGCAAGACTTACTCAAATTTATCCTTTAAGTATTAAGATCTAGAAGAGATCATATATATATATATATATATATATATATATATATATATAGGCAGAGTAATGGCTAGAGAATCAAATTTGAATTCCAGTCAAGTTTGTTACACTCAATTACAGGCAACAAATAGCCTTGGGTGGCAACCAGTGTAGGAGAAGGGCAATTCTAAGTTCAAAATCTGAGGAGAATCATTTAGGGGACCTTGTAGCATACTGTACAACAGTTCTCTTTATCCAGCTCTTCCAAAAAAGTGTGGTTGGTTCTGTCTGAGTCTTCACCACTATCAGCCGTAGTCAGAATCATCGAGCCAATTCGAACGATCCTTTCCTTAGCTGCATAGTATGTGCTACACCAGGGCTACGTACAGTTTTGAATTCAGAGTTACTTTCTCCTACATTGGTTACGATTCAAGGCTACAGAACCCAGCCTTTAAGAGGATTTATACCTTTCCCACAGGTATTAGCACATGTGAATAATGGATCAGACTGCAATTCGAACTCAGCTCTGATTCCTCAATTGACAGTGCCTCACCACTATAATTAAATCATGAGAGTTGTCTGGCTGTTTAATTCTAACAACTGAGCTGCTGTGCCATCACATGTTGAAAGCAGCAGGAAAGTGTTTTGTCTCTGATCAAAGTGTTGCTTCTTAGCCTTCTAGCTAGGATCAATGTACTCTCTGAAAATTGTTACACAATTAAAATGCAATATATAATGGCCAGCTACTCTCATTTTCTCAAAACACCCATCTATGTTTATTCAACACCATAGAGCCCACCTGTGGTATGTGTACATGTATATATATCCCTAGATAGATAGAGCAAGCATAATTTGTCATGAGCAGCAGTTTGAACACTGCCTGTACATGAATCCTTTGATTAGCACAGCTAATATGTACATCAGTAACCATTAAAAAAAAAAAAAAAAAAGTATTATCAATGTACTAATTGAATTTTGGTATATAAAAATTTTAGTGCACTAATTGAAGGATGTCTGTATGCTGAAAACCCTCTGTCATGATGACTTGTGACTTTGTGCCAGCACAACCCAATTTCACTCATCAAACTGTGGGATTAGTTTTCAAACATTTTCCAAAGCTGCAACACTGTGGTATTATAATATCATCTTCCTAATAAATTGTCCATGATGGGATTTGAACCTATGCCTCATGGGTTGAATGTAACTGCTTTAACAAGTAAGGTCTCCTACTGTATGGCATTACTTAATACTGGCAATGAAACATGTCTAGCTTGTATTCACTTGTCTGTAAAATTCTGTTCAGATGTGTTAATTAGTCCTGAGCATTGTCCAAATTACTGCGGAAGCCTCAATCAGCGATAGAATATTTTGGCACTAGAAGGTTCTGCTTGTCCTTCAAAAGTCGGATATAAAAAGATTGAAACTGTCAAAGAGCACATCTCTGGAATAAAAGGTCTGAAAGGAAATGGAATTGCAGTTGGTAAATATTGAAAAGCTTAAAGTTTACACTTGTTGCATTAACCCCGCCACCACCAATCAGCCCTAGACAGACACCATCAGATATTTATTTTATTTTATTTTTCTGCTTGTCCCTGAAATTGAAACAGGCCAAAGTTGTTGTGCATAACAAAAGCTAATGCAAAACTTTCTCCATGGCCAACGTAATGAAAGTTTTTTTTTTTTTTTTTTATTTAAAGGAAAAAAAAGTGACACCCAAAATGCTATATTGAAAAAACCTGCTTGTAATTTTGAAAAGAAATAAATTTACTTGATTTTGATCCCAGTTTCATTATTTTGTCCAGTCTAAAACTTGTTTCATAAGATTGATGATGTTTCTTATAACCCAACCCTCTGATTAATTCACACACGATTCTCTTATGATAAATACCCAAAGTGATTTTACAACATTGTTAATGGCTATTCCAACTTTTACTTCATTTGAATCGGAAGGAAACTGATTTTTTTTTTTTCTTCTTACATGTAAAAATGCCAGATTCAGTCCAACACAAACCTCATCTGGACACAATGTTGAATATAAAGTCATTTTTGTTTTTTTATTATTATTATAGATCCCCCCCTCTGTACTTAGATGCTAACTTTCGTAATAATGGCAATTTTTGTAGAGATTATCAGGAATTGTTGTGGAAACAATGGAGAGTGAAATGTAAAAATGAATTTTTCTTAAATGTTACATCCCTTCAGGATTTGTCTATATTTCTGAGATGAGGTATTATGTACAGTATTTACATTAGTCGGACTATTGTCCTCATCTTTGTCGCCATATTTGTCACAACGTTTCGGCCGTTGTACGCTCCGGCCTTCAGGATGTCGACCATTAATACTTCTGCCAAAAGTGAGACGTTACATGAAACACATTGCATATCAGTGACTTTTGCTAATCAGTTAACAATTGTATGCTTGAGTGAGTTTGCAAGATGACATTTGGCATTTTGGAAAATGTTCCAAAATGATAAGTGCTTATATCTAATTTCCCACCCAGTAGAACAGATCTTCCTTGTACCTTGTCTAGAAATATTTTCATGGTAATTGTTCTGAAGAGCTTTCCTCTTTGTTAAACCTTTTTTAATTATTTTAAAGTTTAATTGGTGAGATGGAACTGTAAGTTCTATGTTAATAGTTTCTTCTCTTACACTTCTCACTTATATGACTCTTTTAGTCTTGCTTTCTAGTCAACTTTGATCTTTAAAAACTTAAATGCAATCTCAATCGTTATCTTATGTTGTTTTAATTTCTGTTTTTTTTCTTTCTGTGTTTTCTTCTTACATATTCTTTCATACTCAGTAACCCTGTGCATGTTAGTGGCTTTATTGCCTTGCTTGGGGTGAAATGATTAAAAAAGAAAAAAAAATTCCAATTTTTGTGAGTAACTCTGGCTTTGACAATCCACCATATCTTTCCCAATAATGGGAATTGATAAAAGTGTGTATGTGTTTTTATTTTTTTTATTTTTTTTCTTGTGGAATTTATGTAAAGAGACAAATTGGCACACAACAAAGTTATTGCTATCTCTTTGTTACCTCATGGCTTGCAGACAGTATAGGACATTTTATTCATATCTTTGTTATTCAGTGTAATGGTTTGTCAAAAGAAATGACTAACCATCAATTGCAAAAAGACAGATAATCGAAGTTACAAATTGGAGTTGTCAACAAACAGATGCAAAAGTTTAACAGAAGATGGCAAATATGACACTGAGATCTGAACACGGATTGGACTCCTGAAAGAAACATCTCAAAATCTAAGCAAAGAAAAATTTTCCTTTTAATTAGAAACCAAGAAAAGTACTGGATAGGCATGTGATAATCTTATATGGCAGTGATTGCTAGACAATCACTCCACAGAGGAGGAGAAAACTGGAAGTACAGAAAGATACTGAGAATTTCATGGACAGTGGGGAGTGAATAAGCAACAAGGAAGAAAAGAAAGAAAAATGGTAATGAAAAGAAAACTTCTTGTTTGGAAAACTTAGCACTCACGGAGCATATTGAGGGCAAGAGAGATAGAGGAAGGTAGCGAGTCTCTTACCTGACTGGATTGGGGAACAGGAGTTTAGTACCTTAGCAAAGGAGGAAAACTGCTAAGGGCCACAAGAGATAGGGATTATTTACATGCAGACTATTGTACTCGCCTTTTTGTTATCACGTTTCGGCTGTTGTGTCCTCGGGTCTTCATCAGGTGTATGCTGATCTGTGTAACCCACAGGCAATTCTGAACAGGATGCTTTATTTAATCTACACGGTTCAGTTCAGAATTCCCTCTAGGTCACCCAGATTGACATACACCCTGAAGACCTGAGGGTACAACAACCAAAACATTGTGATAACAACAATTCATGTGTAAATAGTGATAGTTTCTCATCTCAAAAATGTAAACAGAAAAGGGGGTAGGAAATTGTGGAGAGCCATGATCGACTGTCCTGAATGGACACAACATATAGAAGATGGCAACCAGTAATAATGGAAGAATAATTTGAAACTACCAATGAAAAAAAATATTAAAGAATTTAAAGAAGGCAATTTGTGTTTGGGTGGGTGAGGGCAGATTTGTAATATTAGTTGTGATGATGATGATGATTTTAGAAGCATGCTATAATTTTCTTTTTATTACCTAAAATTTAATATAAACAATTTTATATAAGGAAAATGATTTATAAAAATTTAAAAACTTCAATTATGCATAATTGTCTTACTACTACTACTACTAATAATAATAATAACAATATATTAAAAGATCCCTAATTTTTTACTAACCCCTGCTTCTGCTATTTTTTTTTTTTTTTTTTTATCTGTGCAAAATGTTATCTTTAAAATATTGGACTGTAGTTAATTATGGCTTTGTATGTAATGCCGATAACTTAGTGGTCAGCTTCTATGATAATTAATAGTATTCTTTATACACTCTTGTGTCTTCCTAGAGATTCCTAAAGATTAGACAGCCATGATGAAGACCGCAGTCCATTCCAGGTTTTGATGATATCCATGCAGTTTTGTTGCGAGGAACGTATATGCTGAAGAAGGAACCGAACAAGGCTTTAGAGACACCTGACAATTAACAACACACCTGGTGGTAACTCGATGCAGTTTCACACCTGGGATGCTTCACCTGATTGGATGAAGATTTTACACATCAGGCTCTCTGATCTCTCTACCCGTTTTTTTTTTTTTTTTTTTTTTCATACCCCTTCCCACATTTTTTTCACCTTTAATCTTTCTCTCTTATTTTCTTGCCTTGCACCCCATACCTGTGCCTTCAGTATCAACTGCACTGGACCCCTAATCTTGAGTCCCAACCTCTTTGGACAGCAGATTTTACTTGCTTGCTTTCCAGAACAGTCCAGGCTGGGAAAATAATATCTTGGGAGGGGGGTGGCGTCGTCTTCTTACATGATTACCACCCAATAGGAAATAACAAGGCCAATGTCAATTACAGCTTAAAGACACTAGTGTCAGGAGAAAGGGGGGGAAAAAAAAAAAAAAAAAGTGTCAAATTTGTATCCAGTATGCAGATGCTGTTTTTTGGTTCATATTTCTTCACCGCTCTGCCCCACAGCTCCTTTATGGCTCATCATCATCATCATCATCATCTCATAAGATTTTTTTTTGATAGGGAGAATGGTAGAATTTACAATAGGCAGTGTAACCAGAAATTATTTTTTCTGAAAACTCTAGATTAAGCAATCCATATATAAAAAATCAAATTTTATTAAAATTAGGGCAGGGTCTAGTTTTCAATGTAAGTTGATCCCCCCCCTATGGAAGCTAAAACAAAATATGCTCATGCCACATGATTCCTTTAAAAAATAAATTTCTTGAAATTTGTAATAATGAGTACATTTTATATATATATATATATATATATATATATATTTAAAAAATCTAAAAGAAAATCCTGTAACATCAGCACGTTTTGTTTTGGCTTCTGTAGGGGGATCAATTTATATAGCAAATTAATTGGACCCCCCACACACACACACACACTATTAGATATCTAAGATGTTTCACTTTTAAAGCTTTGTCAGAGATTGAGAAAAAAAAAAAAAATTCTGGTATTTTCAATTCTGTGTGCTTTGATTTTCATTAGTCAGTTGTGTATCATGTGCTTATAACAAAAGATAATTCTATATGGATGAAAGCTTATGAAAATTTCTAATTTGTCTCGATGAAAATCAAACCATCAAAATTGAAAATACCAGAATTTGTCTTTTTTTTTTTTTAAGTCTCTGACGAAGCTTTAAAAAAGTGAAACATATCCTATTTGTTCTTTATCTTAAATATATATTCTGTAATGTTGAATTGATTGTAATTGAAAGAAAGAAAGAAAAAAAAATGATTATTTTTAGTTCATAGTGTACAATTCCAGCGAGATAATCATTCAATAGTTTTTGTGTGTATGCGTTGATATATAAGCACAGATATTTTCTAATGAGTTGACCATGCAGTATTTGAGTAAACAGTTTCATATTCAATATGCTTAAGTGATCTTATATATGAGAAAAGAAAAAAAAATTTCTGTATATGCTATACAGTTTATCCTTGTGAGTTTCCATTACGTAAAGGATGCATTGAACCGTTACTGAAATTTTTACTCTGTTCAGGAAACCAATTTTAAAGTGAATTACTATTTCCTTTTCATATTTCACACCTAAAACTTTCAAAATAACTTTTATAGCAAAAAAAAAAAAAAAATTTTTCTGATGTGAATTGGCTTTTTTTTACGTTTTATTTCACTTATAGACAGATGCAGTGGATAAGTTTTTCAGGAAAAAAAAAAATTTACTTTGTCTTTATATATTGTATAAATAACTTTCTAATATTTTTTTTTTTATTTTTTTTTTATTTATTTATTTAAAAAAAAAAAAAAAATTTTATTTTATTTTCTCCATTCATCCAGCATCTGATATGCTTTGCCATATTATCTAATTCATTTTGGGAGCTTACTGCCTAAGAAACTAAAAATAATTTTGTTCAGAATTTAAAAAGAAAAAAAACAAAAAAAAAAAAACACGCAAACCAAAGTTAGTGTTTTTATTTTCGTATCTATTGTCAAGGCTTCGTTATAGCAAAAAAGAAAAAGAAAAAAAAAAAAAAGATAACTTCTCAATTTTAACATTTCCAAATTGAAAATGAATGTTTTGAAAAGCTTTTCTTCCAATTGGACACCTTTTCATAAATGGTTGTTTATACAAGAATTAGAAAGAATCTTGACAACCACCCCATCCCTTTAAAGAGACTGCAGTAAGCAGTGAGGACAATGTCAACCAGGTTGTGCTTAAATTTTCCATGATTTGGGGAGGTAGATACAATATCTTATTTACCAGGTTCCCCTGTCCCCACTAAAACTCCTCTCTATATCTTGCCTATATATATATATATATATATATATATATATATATATATATAATATAAAATATATATATATATAAAATGTGTGTGTATATCTTAGCTTCTCTTTCAAAAATATCATTTTTGGAATGAATATTTCCTATAATTTTTACTGATTGTCTCACTGTTCTTGTTGGAGAACAAATTCTTCTTACACCCCCCTCCATTTTAAAAAAGAAAATTGATTCTACAGACATTGTTGGCTTGCCACTGCACCCTGCTATTTTTTGAAAACTTGATTATTAGACCCAATTAGAATTATTACTTTAATATTTCCTCAATTAAAAAACTGTTCATTTACAAAGACATTATTATTATTTTTGTTAGATCTTAAGAATCTCTAACATGTCTTCCATCTGGGTTGCAGGTTGTGGCATCATGTGCCTTGTTCTACTGTTTACCTCCCTTGCTAATACTGATGTTAGCTTCAAGCCGAAAAGTGTAGGGTTTTTTTTGTTTTTTTTTAAAACAAAATGCCTGTTGTATTTTATCAGTTGTCTCTCTCAGAATAATTTAAATCTTGGATTTTGAATTAGAATTTTTGTGTCTGTATTTCAGGCAGTGAGAATTGGAAAAGGACTTTTTGAAATAATTTGCCAAATTCATATCAAAGAGGCAGGGGGAATCAAAAAGGAGCCAGTTTTAGATTTTGGCATTAACAATAATTTTGCATTGCCCCCATTCCCTGCCCCCCAAATAATCTACATAATTACTTATCTGTGATAATGCTTGTTTATCCTCCAGCCTGTTCTAGTTAATGCTGTCAACAAATCCCCCCCCCCACCACCACTCTCTGCTTTTTAATTCTCTCAAAGTGGGGGGAGTGAATTAATCCTTCATAAACACTGGTAGTTATTCTGTTGTCATAGTCTTCTTCCTCCTCCAGCAGGAGAAGGGGGTGCCAGTCAATTATACTCTGTAAACCCCCCACACACACACTCACCCACCCACCTGAATTTCTTTATTTTTTTGAAGAACTAAATTTATTTTTTAGCCTATGAAAAAAAAAAAAAATGTGTGACACAAATTCCTTCCCCCTACCTCCTTACCCACCAGCTTCCCATAAATTTGATTTTAATCCCTCACCCCCCAGATGCAAGACATGGGAATCTTATTGGTAGTGAACACTTGAACCCAATCCCTGTGGCAACACTTTTCTGTCAATGGTAGTTGGAGCCATAGAATTACAGTTACAGAATTCCTATTGTCTGCAGTTAATGGGTAACAGTCTCCAGTCCACCCCATTTTTTAAATAGTTAAACAATTTTTCATTGTCTTCATCACAGTTAATGAATATCATTACACATTTTCAGTCTTCTTGCCATAAAAAAAATAAAATAAAATTGTGGAGGATGGGAAGGGATTGAAAAAAAAAAAAAAAAATTGTATGGAGGGTGCTGAAAAGTTATTGCCCCTCCCCCCCCCAAGTCCCACACCTTTGTGGCTTCTAACAACTTCCCAAAATGACATCAAACTTTCAGCATCCTTTCATAATTACAAAATAAGGCTGATAATAGCAAAATGTATTTTGCTTTGTTTGTTTATCTGAAACATACATAAATAAATATAATATATATATATATATATATATTTATTTATTTATTTCAGATAGAGTATATCTGTAAAAAGACAATATGAATAAAGACAAAAGGAAAACTTAGCCAACGCATTTTGTTCTCTGAGGGAATTATAGCAAATGCAAAGATTTTATACAGTTTAGCTGAAAAGTCAGACAAGCTATGGAAGATATGAAGCGACATAATTCAATGTCTAATAAATGTACGTGAAAATTTCAAGAACATAATTTATGTGTTAAGATAAGTTTTCCTTTTGGCTTCTTTCATATTTCTGGAGGATGAAGTTTTTTGCTGGATTGATTCTTGAGTGGATAAGAATTTTAAAATATTGATTTGAATTTTTAATTTGTGAAGATGGTAATATTCATCCTGTGTTATTTATTCAAAATATTGTTTTTAGTGTTTGTCTTGGAGAGCAAGAGAAGGAAAAATGATAGAAGCAGAAGACTTTAAAAAAAAAAAAAAAAAAAAAAAAAAATTGTATAGAGAAGAAAGAATAAATATTTTAAAAATGTAAAAAAACAAACTTATCATGAAAACCCTGTGTATATTTTTCCTCCCATGATTAAACAGTTTTCTTGTTTCTTTTAAGCATGATGTACGTTTAATATATGCTTCTTGAGGAGTTTATTTTTTAATGTAAAACTCTTCCCTCAGAACAGACACAAAAAATTCTTACCGTAGTTGTGTCTGTTGATGTTTTAGATAGTTATGCATTTTTTTTTTTCTTTTCTTTTAAATAAAAGTGTACAAAAAATCCTGCCTATTCAAACATTACTTTTTATTCATTTTGTGTGTTCATTCCTGCCTTTCATTAAGTCTTGTTTCTCTAAATGGTCATGTATATCTTAGCCACTTTATACAAGACTCACTGCCTATGGCTTATTATAGACATTATAAAACAAACACTAAGAATAATCACGTTTTGTTTATGGAAAACTTTTCAGTTTACTCATCTTTTGAGGTTTTTATG